TTAGCCAGATGAACAGGCCTCCAATGAAGGGGAAAGCATAATGACAACACCAGCGTCTCTCACACACACACACACACACACACTCCGTCTGCTCCTTCCATCACTCTCCACGGTGTGTGTGGGAATCTGGTGTGTGTTATTTTTCCTGAGCAATCTAAAGGGGTTAGCCAAAGTCTATCATTTCATGTGTTTATTTAGGGGGGCTTCAGTGTACGATAATAATAACTAGACCGATGGTTAAATTCAGTGTGTCCATGATCGTCGTAATGTGTAAACAACTATTTTATTGCTCGGTGTTTAACATCATAGTGATACTGTCTCTGTTTCAGAGTTATTTGTCACACTGCAGGAACATTCTTCATATTATTCTGACTCCAAATGAATCCAGCACTAATGCTTTATATTTTACCAAGAAGTGCTGTGTCTTATTTCAGATACTTCCCCTAGTACACTGCATGTCCTCCACTGTAAACAAGTGACATTCACTGCTGTTAGCTTGCTAGCTAGATAGCAACTTTATTGTTAGCAGTATCAAATAACTACAGGCTGCTTAATTAACCCACTAAAATGAACAGTGGCATTAATTAGACACCAGTATAGTGATAGTTTACTTAAAGTGGACCTATCATGCTATATTTGAATAATATAGTGTAGGACATATTTATACTTTTTTTTTTTCAAAATACCAAACAGATCATGCATTTTAGCCATGCCTCATTTTGCTCAATTTGAATTTTTCTAGCTCTGTTTTAGCAAGGGCAGATTCAGTGAGAACAGCACCATCTACTGGCCTGGCATATGTACTACAGCGTCTCCAGCGCTTTCGAATAGCAATGGCCGTGGCTGTCTCCTCCTGATTGGTGGAGTTGGCCCAATAGCCGTAGCGCCACCGTCCTGACGTCAGGACAGTGTTCAAATCTGGATCAGTTTTTATCAGATCCGTTGCAGCCCCTTTTTTAGAGATTTGGGTATGGAGGAAAATAGAGAGGGTTGTGTTTTCTGACACTTGGTGAGTTCCCTGGAACACCGGGGACACATATTCATGTATACAAGACGTACAAAAGTGCATTTTGCATGATAGGTCCCCTTTAAAGAGTGAAAACACACATGTATAACTTACATTTGAGTAGTGCTGTGTTCTCTAGAGATACACACACTTGCTTTATAACCAAAATTAGGGGCTGTTTAGTGTAAAGTCTCCAGCGTTTACACAACTTTTTGAACATTTGTGCACAATCCAGGTACTTATTGTGCATTTTGCTATACTTGCTATAGGCGATCATGATATAAAAATAGCCCTGTGAGTTCAGAAGTAAACAATTTAAAACATGGCAAAGATATGTTTTGTACGTTGTATTGTATTTCTTATTGTTTCCAGTATCCATGTGACAACAGATAGCAACAAAACAATGCATAAGATGAGATACAAAATGGTATCAGGAGTTTTGCGTCGTCGTTCGAAACTACGGGAGCGTTTTCTTTGACTGAAGGTGGTAATAATTACATTTCGGTGGTTAAAAATCACTGATATTATAACATTTTTGGCATTTTAGACAGACATGTATGTAAACTACAGGTTGACTGTGAAGAGGTCATTCTACACACACACACACACACACACACACACACACACACACACACACACACACACACACACACACACACACACACACACAATAAGGTAACTTTTGGGCAAATTGTATTTCTCATTGTTTCCAGTATCCATGGTATCAATAGTTTTGCTTTCCAGTTTCCAAGTCGTTCCGGGAGCGTTTTCTTTGACTTAAAGTGGAAATCATTACATTTTTGTGGTTAAAAATCACTGACCTTATACATTATTTGGCATTTTCGACACACATGTATGTAAACTACAGGTTGACTGTGAAGGGGTCATTCTAGTTTAACAGAACGAATGATCAAATGTGCACTTTACATGGTTCAACTGTACTTTGTGGACGACAGAGGCCTCCCTCCCTCCTCCATCAGCTCCAGGGTCATTACCTGTGTTAATGTGTTGGTGCAGAGAAAGAGCACGGCGTCTTTTCATCTCTCTAACTAGCCCCATTAAGATCCATTCAGCTAATGAGCCTTCACTCAGTGCGCTGTGATTAACACCGACTGCCTGATCTTCACTTAGCTCTGCTGTGACTCCATTACAGAACAAAGTGAACGCTGATGTGTAAACCTGTGACCCGGAGGGGGAGATTTACGCCTGAGGGGAAGTTACTACGGAGCTGAAGACTAATGTTAATGGTGTATCTCTTTTGGACGAGTCAGTTACTTCAGAAGAGGCAGGGTTTATTATCGGGACCACTGTATTTACAAATGGGGGTTAGTGGGAAGTGGTTATGGGTAATTGTACGATTCTTTTTTTTATCAGATTAGACTTCTTATTCTTAATTTTACTTACTTTTTTGTATATTTTTTATTTCTTGTAAACGTTTTTTTATTGCAGTATTAAAAAATGTAATCGTATTTTTTGGGCAATTTTTTTCCAGATTTAACTTATATTCTAGTATATTTTATATATCATCCGTATGTATTAATGTACCTGGCAATGAACCTAATTCTGATAAATATTACTCTATGTTGAAATAGATATCTATATATCTCGTTTTTGACGCCTGATTGTCAAATTCATTGACAAACATTTTGTAATTTGTCCATCATCAGGTCAAAGTTCTCGACAATTTGACAATACTCTATATAATACATCTTTGACATCATTCTGTGAGCAACCATGATGTGATTTAACCATTACAGAGTACACGTTATGACTCTGTGAACACCTAAAATAAAAGCAGTTCTTAACACATAACTAAAATGACCGTTGTTTGGTTCGGTAAACGTGTTTTTTATACTTTATATAATATGTTTATGACCAAATATCTGAAAACGAATGACTTTTTAATCAGTTTCAGTTGATGTTTGCACGTCAACACTCCTCATACTAATGCCACATGATAAACAACGGAAATGACGAACAGGAGAGACAATCAAACTCTCACATTTGGAAATGCCTTTAAAGGGGACCTATCATGCAAAATGCACTTGTGTACGTCTTTTCTACATGAATATGTGTCCCCGGTGTTCCAGGGAACTCACCAAGTGTCAGAAAACACAACCCTCTCTATTTTCCTCCATACCCAAATCTCTAAAAAAGGGGCTGCAACGGATCTGATAAAAACTGATCCAGATTTGAACACTGTCCTGACGTCAGGACGGTGGCGCTACGGCTATTGGGCCAACTCCACCAATCAGGAGGAGACAGCCACGGCCATTGCCGTTCGAAAGCGCTGGAGACGCTGTAGTACATATGCCAGGCCAGTAGATGGTGCTGTTCTCACAGAATCAACCCTTGCACAAAAAGAGCTAAAAAATGTCAAATTGAGCAAAATGAGGCATGGCTAAAATGCATGATCCGTTTGGTATTTTGAAAAAAAAAAGTATAAATATGCCTTATATAGGTATGGTCCTACACTATATTATTAAAATATAGCATGTTAGGTCCACTTTAAGTGAGAGACTCTGTGTCACACATTGCATAAAATAATGCCAACACGTTTATAGTAGGAAATTCAAACACAATAAAAAGTACCCCCAATACAACCTGACAACGTACAAAATAATTGTTATTATTTTTGACTTGAGTAAAATGTCACTCATCTCTCCCACACACAGAGAAACACTGTAGTTTTATAATTATCATATAGATGACTTCCATGCACTTAGCTGCAAACACACACATACACACACACACACACACACACACACACACACACACACACACACACACACACACACACACACTTGCATATATTAACTCGCACCTGTGTGACAACACGGACGAGTGATCTGCATGAAACAGGTGACAAACGAGAGGACATAAAGCATCAAATCATGCAGAGCAGATCACTTGTAACACATGTTGATGATCAAGGACACCACCTGAGTCTCTCATTCATTCCCCTGTTCCTCCCCCTTTCACTCCCTTTTCCCGTCAATTAAATTCACTTCACAAGTGCTTTTTTGGCTGGACCTCGGGGTGCTGTTGCCAAGGCGCTTTTGATTTAATATCTGTCATGCATATAGGGAAAATAAAATATAGAAATGGGGAAAGTAACAGCAACATGCCTCGAGGTCTGCATGGAGCCTCGCAGTGGGAGAGGGGGGCATTTTGTGAGTGGATGTGAGCTCCATCGGGGGCACGAAAACACACCAGAGCTCCATCGTCTGGAGGGGAAAAACACAGCTTGAATACATAAATGAATGATCCATTTTCCTTCCTCCCGCACGACATCTTCCTCGCCCCTTCTGCTGTGACTCACTCTGGATTAGAGAGGGTTTAAACCCTCTTGACTCCTCACCACTCGCTCCTCTCCATCACTGTCTCTCTCTCGCTCTTGTTTTGCCTCAAACTTTTCCAACTCTCCGAGGGCAGATGGAAAAACAGAACTGTGGACCAGATGGAGCGAGGTTACAGTTACAGAGACAGTGTAGATGTCACTTTACGGAGAAAAACACAAGAGGAAGTGTGGGACATTAAATATTAAAGCTAGGCTATGTCACTTTTTTATTTCTCTCGGTTCAGTAGAACGAATGAAGAGAGAAAATACATCTGGTTTCGGTTTTTAGTGCATTTTACAACTTTAAAGACCGAATGACTCGAATAAGGACTATACAATTGTTCATACTGGGAAGTTAATTTGGTTTAAAAAAAAAAAAGTCCTTCTTGGCCGGGTGACGTCACGGACTGATACAGAAATTGTAGTACCGCCGTTTGGCCACTACGAATATTTTCCTCCGAATCCGGAGCACTTCCTGGGGGCTTGGAAGAGACCCAGCATTAGCCTTAAATGTGTGAAGAGGCCTCTGTGAAATCCCTACCCTGGCCTCTTATGTGGGTTTTGCAAAGCTGTTAAAGTGTATTTAGATACATTAACCAAATATTGTAACTGACACGTGACGTCCTTCTTCTTGTTTGTCTCCTTATTTCCCAGGGTTCTCCATAACTACATGCTGTGGCGCATAGTGGCGGCTCTAAGTGAACACCTGTCCACGGCTTTCCGCAGCACCATCCACGAGTTTTCCCGTGAGATCGACGGCACGGAGCAGCAGCTGGAGCTCGGGCGCCTCTGCCTCACGCAGGCCAACAAACACTTTGGCATGGCGCTGGGAGCGTTGTTCGTCCAGCAGCACTTCTCCTCTCAGAGCAAAGCAAAGGTAGGGAGACGCTTTACTGACGGAGGGTTGACCGTCGAATGATGAGTGTTCAGAGGTGGCGGTTCTAGACCAATTTTACCGGGGGGCCAGGCTGGGGTTTTCATAAGAGGGGCACAATAGCCGTGTTCACACCAAGTACTTTGCCGTACTTAGTGCCCCGGCACTTATTACCCCAGGGCACTTAGTACAGATCGCATTCACACCGGAATAAGTTCCCTGAGGGAAGATTATGCAAATGAGCCGCTGACGTCACTTCGTCTTCTTCTGCTTTGGGTTTACTGGCAGGCCGCAAACAACTTCACGGCGTATACTGCCACCCGGAGTCCCCGGCCGGAAGTCCCTGGAGTTGGGGACTGGCTTCAGTAGAAGCTGCTGGGACCCCCAGCAGCTTCTACTGAAGCCTTCCGAGTAAATTGCCAGAACGCCGACACCTCCTCATCTCCACCGCTCCCATGTTTTGTTTTGTGTTGCCATAAGTTAGTCTCTCTGCGTTTGTGCGCTGGGCGAATGCTAATGCTAATAATGCTAATGCGAGGATAATAAAATGGCGGCTCTACAAAACATTTCAGAGTTGTACGGGGCGTGGTTTGCAATTCGCCCAGCCAATCAGAACTGGGGCACTTTTTTCCCCCAGGAAAGTACCATCTCTCAGCAGGCACTAAAAATGGGGGTAAAAGTTCCCGAGATGAAGTGCTCTTTTTGGTGTGAACGCGACATAAGGGGTACTAACGGAACTAAACGCGAAAAGTACGGGGAAAAGTACTCCGGTGTGAACGCGGCAAATAAAAGCGGGTTGAAAAGACAAAGACAGTATAAAGTAATTGTGTAAAATAAACATGAAATACAGTAATTGGTATTTTTTTTTGTAAAGTTATTTGTTTTGGTACATTTAACTTACAGTCCTTAGTTTCAGTGGTTTTTTCATTTGTTTTAGTAGCTTTAGGTACTCCACTGTACATCCGGGTCTCTGATTTGATTTAGTTCCAATAAATCGTAATATTGTAACCTTTCTTTTGGAGGGGGGCCACAGGGGGAGTCCCTGGTCAGTGTTGCGGGGGCACTGGCCCCTGTTGCCCCCCCCTAGAACCACCCCTGCTGTTCAGAGGTGGGAAGTAGTGTGAACGGACGAACTGCTTACATTTTGGTTGTCAAATATCACTATGACCTCACAAATCCTGATTACAGCGAGACCCCAAAAAAATGCATGCTTATTACACAACAAATTCCACACAGATGTCTAATTGGATGAAATGATGATGGGACATGTTGGACAGACTTGAATGTGGGCGGAGAATTATAGTTATGACTACAAAAATATTTTACAGCCGTCCAGGACATCTGTGATCTTGGAACCGTCACAGTTTTCCTACAATTTCCACAACAATCAACCCCATTATTTTTGACTGACATCTCTTTTATTTTTATTTTCTAGTTCACCATTGACTTCTTATGCGTTCTCTGGGTTCCAGCTGTGTATGTGGACATGGCCGAACGGTTTTGATTGATTCCTTTACTGGGATCTGGAGATATGATCCAAGCCAATCAGAACTGTATCTGTATACTTCTCTATCACTGATTCTTTTGTATTTCTATATTGCTCTCTGCCTAGGTTAGTCACTACTAATCCCCCACCTTTGACCTTTGTTCACCCTCTTTTTCACCTTAATCCTTCCTCATATGTATTCCCTTTGTCTCATGTCAACTATAGGACATGGGGATATGGTTCCCAATTGGATTTCTAACCTCTTTAACCCCATTTTAACCCCATTCTCCTTCCTTAATCCCTCCATCATCTCTCCTTCACTTTCTTCTTCATCTCCAACGCCAGAGGTGGGAAGTAGTGGAGTACAAATACTTTGTTACTGTACTTAAGAACATGTTTCTGGTATCAGTACTTTACTCCACTACTTATTTTTCTGACCACTTTTTACTTTGACTTCTTACATTTTTAACACAAATACCTGTACTTTCTACTTCTTACATGTTGAACACAAATACCTGTACTTTCTACTTCTTACATGTTGAACACAAATACCTGTACTTCTACTTCTTACATGTTGAACACAAATACCTGTACTTTCTACTTCTTACATGTTGAACACAAATACCTGTACTTTCTACTTCTTACATGTTGAACACTAATACCTGTACTTTCTACTTCTTACATTTTGAACACAAATACCTGTACTTTCTACTTCTTACATGTTGAACACAAATACCTGTACTTTCTACTTCTTACATGTTGAACACAAATACCTGTACTTTCTACTTCTTACATGTTGAACACTAATACCTGTACTTTCTACTTCTTACATGTTGAACACAAATACCTGTACTTTCTACTTCTTACATTTTCAACACAAATACCTGTACTTTCTACTTCTTACATGTTGAACACAAATACCTGTACTTTCTACTTCTTACATGTTGAACCCAAATACCTGTACTTTCTACTTCTTACATGTTGAACACAAATACCTGTACTTTCTACTTCTTACATTTTCCAAACAGGCTGGTTCCTTTAGTTTGAATGTGTGTTTGGTGGCGTGATCATTATTATTTAGAGTCATTGCGTGCCTATTGATTTGAACACGATCCGTGTATCCATCATTTCCTGGTCTTCTCTAAAGAAGAGGGACCAATGAAAACGTTGTCATGTTGCCGTTGTTCAGCATGGAAACATTCATTAGCTAACAATGACATTATTGTTCTATTAATATAAAGGGAGGTCAGGTACTCTTTAAAACAGCTGGTAGTTATGGGTACTTTTTACTGAAGTACATTTCAAAGCCCTCTTTACTTTTACTTGAGTAAAGAAGTTTAGTCAGTACTTCTACTTTCACCAGAGTACTTTTAAACACGAGTATCGGTACTTCTACCTGAGTACAGGATGTGTGTACTTTTATCATCTCTGCCCAACGCACTTCATCATACCGTTAGTCTTCTCTTTACTTTGCTTTAAATCTCCGCCAACGCCCAGGACTATAAAACACAAAGAGACCCTGACACAAGTGGATAGCTTCTGCGTTAATTACTTTCTACGTACTGTGCCTTAATTGAAATATAAGTTCCCCAGCTCCTCATCCCACCATTTAGGATTTTAATAAGATACTGAGTGTATATTTCAACAATGCTTCAAGCTAGTGAAGCGTTTGTGATTAATTCAAGAATAAAGAAAGTGTAGCCAGATGAAGTGGCTTCTAATTAGAGATTGTGATATAACAATTACTCAAGTATTGTATAATTTGGAGGTATTTTACTTGAGTATTTCCATTTTCTACCACTTCATACTTCTACTCCACTACAAATACTTTACATTTGACTCTTCTGTGGTACTTTACTACATCTTAAGGGTCTCTCTTTTCAATGTTTGTATTAATCAGAAACACTTGTTGAAAGTAATTGTAATATCTTATTACAATCTTAAAGTGGAGCTATCATGCTATATTTGAATAATATAGTGTAGGACCATACCTATATAAGGCATATTTATACTTTTTTTTTTTTCAAAATACCAAACAGATCATGCATTTTAGCCATGCCTCATTTCGCTCAATTTGACATTTTTTAGATCTGTTTTTGCAAGGGCAGATTCAGTGAGAACAGCACCACCTACAGGCCTGGCATATGTACTACAGCGTCTCCAGCGCTTTCGAACGGCAATGGCCGTGGCTGTCTCCTCCTGATTGGTGGAGTTGGTCCAATAGCCGTAGCGCCACCGTCCTGACGTCAGGACAGTGTTCAAATCTGGATCAGTTTTTATCAGATCCGTTGCAGCCCCTTTTTTAGAGATTTGGGTATGGAGGAAAATAGAGAGGGTTGTGTTTTCTGACACTTGGTGAGTTCCCTGGAACACCGGGGACACATATTCATGTAGAAAAGACGTACAAAAGTGCATTTTGCATGATAGGTCCCCTTTAAATAGAACAAATAAGAGCTTGCACTGGAAAAAATGTTGCTCCAAAAACAAGTTAAAAAAAGAATGAAAATAAGGTGTTTTCACTTGAAATAAGTACAAAAATCTGCCAATAGAACAAGTGAAAATGTGCATGATAAGATTTCTTGAAATAAGAAGGGGTATTTAGATAAATCAGATCTTTTAATGAGCTGGAGAACTTTTTCTGAACTATATTTGACCAGAATCAGGAGATGTGTTACAATATAAGCCACAAATGCTCAAAAGTGTTCTGATGTTAGTTGGTGATTTTCTAATAAATATGTAAATAAATATGTGTTTCATCTGAGACACAACTCAAAATAAGATTTTTTGACTTAACAAGATGAAGCATTGTCTAAAAACAAGACCTGATATCTCACTGCAGTGTTACTTCTGAAGTTAATATGTCTTATATCAGGAGTAGAGGCATATTTTTGTAGTGTGGGAACTGAAATTCCAATTAGTACAAAAGAAAGTAAAAGGTGTGCAGAACGTATTCAGTTGCGTCTGAGTTGCTTTATATTTTTTGGACCTGAGCTTTGTTCCAAGTACCTCCAATTATACTTTCACAGTTCTTGACTCAATGTACTTTTCTAACCACTTGTCAAACATTGGCAGGTTTAGAAAGTCTCACGCTGGGTTATGTCATTTTGGTGGTGTGGATCACACTGATCACCTCACATTGAATAGGATTTAGTCTGCAAGGTGTTGGCTTGTCCACAGGTTGGAGACCTCATTATCAGCTTTGAGAGGTATCGGACCTGTAGTTTCGTGGCCATGTTTTCGGCCTTGACTGACTGCCGGATGCTCCTTACCTCAGCGTGAGCAGAAACTAATGAGTCTCAGGAGCTGGAGCTGAGTGACGGGAAACTCTGCGGGAAAGAAAGGTTGCTCTTGTTATCCTGAATCTCCGATGTAGAGGTGTATCGGACGCATCGTGTCCCGCCGTCTTTTAGGAGTGGGAGACGTGTTTGCAGTAGTTTGAGAAGTTAGAGTGTTTCTTGGAAGTTTGGACGGCAAATGTTGCTCAACAAATACAGACAGAAGGAAACGCTGATTTTGGACGATTTGGCCTTGGGTTACGTTCAATAGAGACATTTTTACATCTCAATCATCATGGCATGGCAAATCATTTGGGTTAGAGGAAGAGACGTTTCTTGGAAGTTTGGACAGCAAATGTTGCTAAAAAAATACAAAGAGAAGGAAACACTTTAGCAAGACTTAGGGTTACATCCAATAGAGACATGTTTTACATCTCAATCATCATGGCATAGCAAATCATGTGGGTTTAACTGTCTTCAGTCTAAATCTGACTGAAGTGATATTTTTTTAAACCAGTATTAATATTACTCTTATAAGAAATTGTGCTATCAAATTATGTATAAATTGTAATTAATCAAGCTAATCTCTTTCTGAGATACTCTTTATTCTCTGTACCATCTTTATATTTTATTGTATATGATGGATGGCCTTGAACAGAGTAAATTGACCCTTTTTCAGATTTTAAGACCACAGTTTTGAGTCTCTCTTGTTTACCTGGCTGTTGAATCTGAATGAATAAAACCTTAGGGCTTGTGCATTCGGTAAACTACACTAAGGGTGTGTAGCATCTCTATATTGACATAAGTTACCCAACGTATAATAAAGACCTGTGTTTATTTATCAACCACCCGGCTTCTATAGTTTTACGGTGTATATCTGGTACATACTGTATAACCATAGTTGTTGAATACACAATTTTAACCACCACAAGCTACCAATTACAAGTATTTATTCCTGGTATATCAGTATGTAGTATCTCTACTTTAAAGAGTCCTCTCCTGCTGATGTTCAGGTGTATATCAGTATGTAGTGTCTCTACTTTAAAGAGTCCTCTCCTGCTGATGTTCAGGTGTATATCAGTATGTAGTGTCTCTACTTTAAAGAGTCCTCTCCTGCTGATGTTCAGGTGTATATCAGTATGTAGTGTCTCTACTTTAAAGAGTCCTCTCCTGCTGATGTTCAGGTGTATATCAGTATGTGTAGTGTCTCTACTTTAAAGAGTCCTCTCCTGCTGATGTTCAGGTGTATATCAGTATGTAGTGTCTCTACTTTAAAGAGTCCTCTCCTGCTGATGTTCAGGTGTATATCAGTATGTAGTGTCTCTACTTTAAAGAGTCCTCTCCTGCTGATGTTCAGGGTGTATATCAGTATGTGTAGTGTCTCTACTTTAAAGAGTCCTCTCCTGCTGATGTTCAGGTGTATATCAGTATGTAGTGTCTCTACTTTAAAGAGTCCTCTCCTGCTGATGTTCAGGTGTATATCAGTATGTGTAGTGTCTCTACTTTAAAGAGTCCTCTCCTGCTGATGTTCAGGTGTATATCAGTATGTAGTGTCTCTACTTTAAAGAGTCCTCTCCTGCTGATGTTCAGGTGTATATCAGTATGTAGTGTCTCTACTTTAAAGAGTCCTCTCCTGCTGATGTTCAGGTGTATATCAGTATGTAGTGTCTCTACTTTAAAGAGTCCTCTCCTGCTGATGTTCAGGTGTATATCAGTATGTAGTGTCTCTACTTTAAAGAGTCCTCTCCTGCTGATGTTCAGGTGTATATCAGTATGTGTAGTGTCTCTACTTTAAAGAGTCCTCTCCTGCTGATGTTCAGGTGTATATCAGTATGTAGTGTCTCTACTTTAAAGAGTCCTCTCCTGCTGATGTTCAGGTGTATATCAGTATGTAGTGTCTCTACTTTAAGAGTCCTCTCCTGCTGATGTTCAGGTGTATATCAGTATGTAGTGTCTCTACTTTAAAGAGTCCTCTCCTGCTGATGTTCAGGTGTATATCAGTATGTAGTGTCTCTACTTTAAAGAGTCCTCTCCTGCTGATGTTCAGGTGTATATCAGTATGTAGTGTCTCTACTTTAAAGAGTCCTCCTCCTGCTGATGTTCAGGTGTATATCAGTATGTAGTGTCTCTACTTTAAAGAGTCCTCTCCTGCTGATGTTCAGGTGTATATCAGTATGTAGTGTCTCTACTTTAAAGAGTCCTCTCCTGCTGTGTTCAGGTGTATATCAGTATGTAGTGTCTCTACTTTAAAGAGTCCTCTCCTGCTGATGTTCAGGTGTATATCAGTATGTAGTGTCTCTACTTTAAAGAGTCCTCTCCTGCTGATGTTCAGGTGTATATCAGATGTAGTTGTCTCTACTTTAAGAGTCCTCTCCTGCTGATGTTCAGGTGTATATCAGTATGTAGTGTCTCTACTTTAAAAAGAGTCCTCTCCTGCTGATGTTCAGGTGTATATCAGTATGTAGTGTCTCTACTTTTAAAGAGTCCTCTCCTGCTGATGTTCAGGTGTATATCAGGTATGTAGTGTCTCTACTTTAAAGAGTCCTCTCCTGCTGATGTTCAGGGTGTATATCAGTATGTAGTGTCTCCTACTTTAAAGAGTCCTCTCCTGCTGATGTTCAGCTGTATATCAGTATGTAGTGTCTCTACTTTAAAGAGTCCTCTCCTGCTGATGTTCAGGTGTATATCAGTATGTAGTGTCTCTACTTTAAAGAGACCTTCTCCTGCTGATGTCAGGTGTATATCAGTATTGTAGTGTCTCTACTTTAAAGAGTCCTCTCCTGCTGATGTTCAGGTGTATATCAGTATGTAGTGTCTCTACTTAAAAGAGTCCTCTCCTGCTGATGTTCAGGTGTATATCAGTATGTAGTGTTTCTACTTAAAGAGTCCTCTCCTGCTGGATGTTCAGGTGTATATCGATATGTAGATGTCTCTACTTTAAAGAGTCCTCTCCTGCTGATGTTCAGAGTGGTATATCAGTATGTAGTGTCTCATACTTTAAAGAGTCCGCATCCTAGCCTGATGTTCAGGTGTATATCAGTATGTAATGTCTCTACTTTATAAAGGAGAGTCCTCTCCTGCTGATGGTTCATGGTGTATATCAGTTATATGTAGTGTCTCTAACTTTAAGAGTCCTCTCCTGCTGAATGTGCGAGGTGTATATCAGTAATGTAGTGTCTCTACTTTACAGAGTCGCTCTTCCCAGGCATGATGTTCAGGGTAGTAAATATCAGTATAGTAGTGTCTCTTACTTTAAAAGAGTCGCTCTCCTGCTGATGTTCAGGGTGTACTGTATATCAGTAGGTAGTGTCTACTTAAGAGTGTCTCTACTTTAAAGAGTCCTCTCCTGCTGATGTGCAGGTGTATATCAGTATGTAGTGTCTCTACTTTAAAGAGTCCTCTCCTGCTGATGTTCAGGTGTATATCAGTATGTAGTGTCTCTACTTTAAAGAGTCCTCTCCTGCTGATGTTCAGGGTGTACTGTATATCAGTATGTAGTGTCTCTACTTTAAAGAGTCCTCTCCTGCTGATGTTCAGGTGTATATCAGTATGTAGTGTCTCTACTTTAAAGAGTCCTCTCCTGCTGATGTTCATGTCAGTATGTAGTAGAGACACTACATACTGACATATTGGTCTAACAGCTATAATATTGATCAATTATAGATCTGAAATAATCTAAATGTGGCTCCTTGAGCTGTCACCGGCTGATCTTCCTCTAACTTAAAACTTCTTCCATTTTGATTCCCCTGCAGGTTCAGGAGCTGGTGGAGGAGATAAAGCACTCTCTGGACCTCCGTCTGCAGGAGCTGGACTGGATGGACGAAGCCACCAAAGATGCAGCAAGAGAAAAGGTCCAAACCCCCCTCTTACCTTCTTAATTTGTATTTCTATTCTATTTTATTTGTATTTACTTGCACTATTTCTTCTGTTTTTTTGTGTTGCACTGTTAGAGGAGCCTGTGACCTCAGATTTTCATTCATATATCTACACTGTAGCTATGTACACATGACTTGCACATGTGGTGCAGTGACGAGTCCTAAAACCAGGAAGTGAGTCAGCATTTCACCACTTCCTGTTCCCTCGTCTCAGAGCCAATAGGATCTCTCCATAGGATTTTGGAAAATAGCTGAAATAAGGTCTGTGGTTGAGACACATTGAAGAGACGGATCACGTTTTGTTCTACGACATTAAATCCATCAGCAGTGACCTCACTGGTGATTTCTGAAGAGTTGACGTGTCTGAAAAACGATGGTTGTTACCAGTGGCGGCTGGTGGAAAATATTTTAGGTGGGGCTGTGGAAATGGTGATCAAACAATACTAGAGGGGTCCGGGGGGATGCTCCCCCGGTAATCTTTTTTGCGAAAAGACCCCTTAAATCATGACTTCTGGTGATGTTAGAGGGGGGGGAGAAGGACAATTTGAGGCTTAAAAATATGAGAAGACTGATCAATACCTCCATAACTTCAGTGTGGTTAGCTATGAATCTTCCAAAACTTCCAAACACCTTGTCCTGGACATAGTTTCTACAGCATAAACTGTGCAACAGTACAGTAGGCCCACACAAACTGCAGAACACCGGGGCTTTGGGAACACTGATTTAATTCCCATTTAACCTGTTCAGGGGCTTTTTTCCCCCCGTTTTTTTTTCTCACGAAACTGTGTCTCAGGGCTTCTTAAAATGTAATAAACTATTCATGTGTCCTACTCAGAGGAAACGCATCTAACTGATGATATGAACCATGTTTACCGAAACAAAACACAAGTCTCACAAGAAGCGTCTAAATGAGCCCTGAGCGAAAAAATGCTAACGCACTCTAGGTATAAATCAATCGATATACTTATCGGATATGCACAAACAAGCTTACAAGCTGAGATTCCACATATTCTAGAAATATAAGTATCATCACTGAGCGATCAGAACTCGCGACAGGGGAAGCAAATACAGACATCACACGATGTAGCTTTAGGTAGCAAAACATGGAGATATGCTCACCTTTTGCAGAATAACAATTCTGATCAAAAACGAGAAAAACGCAGCTGAAGGTTAATCCATAAATTAATCCAATGTGTCTGTCACTTTGAAAAATTATTGATGATCCATAATTCCATTTTTATGTCAAAAACGGAGTTTTCATTAGCTGCTAATGGTAGCTTCCAGAGTGTATGACAGCTTCCTGTTTTGTCTCCTTGGATACGAGTCCAAACAACTCACAGACTGCACCGGGCGCTCATGTAGGAGCCCTGTGACCATCATATTTGACGACGCTGATTGGCTGAAATTATGTTTTCGCGGCATAGTTTACACGTTACAGATAGCAACAGTCAGCTGCTAGTGGCTGCTGCTGCACTGGTTGAGGGCTCCTCTCTTAGCGCCCAGACGAGAGAAGGTACACGGGCAAGGCCAGGCAGGAAACATGTGACTTATCAGTAACTTTAGACATCGTAACACAATTTTAAACGAGATTTTATTGTAGATTATACATTTTACTGATACCAATTATATAATATTACCTTGTTCATTAAAAATAAAAATAAAAATATATATTTCTTTTAAAATAAATTTTTTATTTTTATTTTTATTTTTTATTATGGGAAGAGGTGGGGCGGCGCCCCTAGCGCCCCTATGGACCGGCCGCCACTGGTTGTTACCAAGTGGCTGAATAGGACTACAGAAGTCGTGGAGGACGTTGTACGTCATTACGCCGAACACGTAAACACTCCTCTATGTTTGTTTGCCCTGTTCTGCTTGAAAGCAAGTACCTGCCTCCTGCTAACTGTTCAAGCAAACGCTTCAACTCGTACCATTTAGAATCTGTGTGTTTGAATATGGATCTTAAGTTGGCGTGACGTTGAAGTCGTGCTGCTGAACTCGACTGTAGTTCCTTTATAGCATAACGTTAGCATTTTGCTTCTGGAGATTAGATTTATGATTAGAACATTATAAAAGTAGGGTAGACGTGTGGAGATTATCCGGCTGAACAAAACGTGCATTTATCAAACAGGTTTGTTTTCCACAGACCTTATTTCCAGCTATTTTCCAAAATCCTATGGAGAAATCCCATCGCTTTGTGTCGAGGGAACCAGCAGCTTACTTCCGGGTAAACACGTCATCCCTGCACCGCTCTATAAAAGCCTTGAATCTTGAATCTCCTGCATCCCCAAACACACGACTCCCTGCCCGATCCGATTAGTATTTGAAAAAGGATTTGATTATTATTTCTTTGCATTTCCTGATGGTTTTGAGATGGAAGTGTGTGATAGAATACATCACGGGCTTGACTTTGAGAAGTGGGGATCTCCTAATCCCGATCCCTCTGTGGTTCTGATTTAGGGTCTGCACGGCAAGATATCCCCTCTAATACTTTTACAATCTGAAGTTATAATCCTTTTAGAGGGCCATGCGGAATATAAAGAGCTTCCCTTGTAATCCTATTACAATCGAGTTTGCTTGATTAGTGTGTGTGTGTGTGCGTGTGTGTGTGTGTGTGTGTGTGTGTGTGTGTGTGGTGTGTGTGTGGTGTGTGTGTGTGTGTGTGTGTGTGTGTGTGTGTGTGTGTGGTATTAGTTACTGAAGTGGATGTCGGGTATACTTTCTCCTGTCCTCCATCACACTCTCTTCTTCTTCTCTTTTTTAAAATTATTTAAAATTGTTGTATTCATCTTTTCAATATCATACATTCTACATACAACAACGTCCAGGGGCAGACATACAAAGCAACAAGACATTACATACATTTAAGGATGTGAAATGTCCCTAAAAATACATCTAACTGCACAAAAAAGACCAAATCTGCGTCCATACTGTCAGCCCTGAAGCACATAAGAATGTCTTTTTATCCTGGGGTTGAACCTTTTGTCTTCTTCTTCTCTTCCAGTTGAAGCACATGATGGTGATGACAGGATATCCAGACTTCCTGCTAAAACCTGAGCTCATAGATCAGGAATACGGGGTGAGTCATGATCCTCTTATTTCACTCTCTACTGTCTGGTATTACTCACTTTAATCAGACGTTACCATGAAACCCGGGTGATTAACTCATCTAAGGATTAAAGGGGCAGCCTGGTGTCTTAAAAAGGACGTTCCAATAAAACAAAAATGCATTGTTTTACATCCAAAATGAAGATTGTATTGTATACTCAAGTGTTTTTATTGAAATTGTTTTCACTTATAACATTGATCACAAACAAGAAGAACAGGCAAGGAGCAACACATATAGCGGATACAAATCAGGGCATCTTCCTACAAAGTTTTATGACAAGCTACTTCATCGAGTCCCATTAAATGAACATACAGTATAATGACAGAAAAATAAACATACACATGTCCAATGAAATCACAAAATCAAAGGCTGCTGTGGCTTCTCCAAATCCTATCAAAGGTAGAATATTTACCCTTAAGCATAAAGGAGAATTTCACGTTTATTCTACTCACTTTTTTGTGTCTGTAGATGTACCAAATGTAACCATTTGATCATGCATGCATCCTTTGTGTTTGTTTTTGACGTATCCCAAATATGTATATAGGAGGTTCCCTTGTTTTTGGTTCAAACAAACAAACGTGTTCTCATGCTGTTATTCCTTTTGTTTAAGAAAATGTATTATTGGTGCTTTCTCCTATTGTCCAGAAATACATGTCAGTGTTTACTTGTTACTACATACATTAAGTATTTCAAAAAAACGTCTCTGGCTTTACAGGGAGGAACTTGGTCAGGTTTGGATAAAAATAAAAATATAGACCTTTCATAGAAGTTGTACTAAAGTTACGTGAAATATATATCAATGGTTTCACAGGGTTGTATGACCAGCGGTATTCTGGGGGAAATTCTTATTGTTAAAGGACCCATCCATCCAACTACCTTGTTTCTAGATGCCCTTTCTTGTAAAAACATAATGCAAAATATGATCAACAATTTACTCTTCATGTCATTTTATAATATATTTTTCTGATCTTCTGAAGCTTCCCAGCGCAATATAAAGTAGGCCTGATGAACCTACTTATGCATCAAGGAAATCCTATAATATATACGATATAAATCTGGGCCATTGTGCACAACAGGCCCTTTTGTATTTGGTACTTTTGGGGTTTATTTTTGTAACTGATCCTTCCTACACTTTGGCATTGTAAAATATTTGAGAACTTTCTCCAACACTGTCCATATGTGGACAAAAAATCGATACTTCTGCCCTGTATTTTGGATTATGGATTCATACATTGTCAATGCTACACCTGCCTACCAACTGCCAATCTGCTAAAAAACACAGCAAACCCATTAAAAACATCATGTTTGACTATAACCTCATTTAGCAGATGTCATCTAAAAGAAAATATCTAAACTACGTCTTTAATATGACCCGATCTATTCTTATCTTTGTTATTTTATTTGCAGTTCGAAGTGGACGAAAAGACCTATTTCAAGAACATCCTCAACAGCATCAAGTTCAACATCAAGCTGTCAGTGCAGAAGATCCGTGAAGAAGTGGACAAGACGGCGTGAGTGTGAAACCTCCTTAAATCATACATGATGACCATAGCTTGTTGACACTCTGTGCAAAGCAATTAAAAGTAGGTTAATATTGTGTTTGAAATGCAGCTGAGGCTCAAACTGCGCGCTGTAGTGTGTCCCTAGTGCGTTTTGACATGCATAACATGTGTCCCTTTTAATCCCTTTTTAGTTTGACATATTTGTTGATGCGCCTTTAAATCAAACCAACAGATACTAAATCGACGCACACAGCTGGAGAAAATCCATTTGATTTACTTATCTGCAGCAGCCAGGCAGCAGGAAAGTGCTGTGGGACATGCGGTTGGTTTTTCTAAAACACAGCCCTGTACTCCTGGATTGAGTGCCTCTCTGCTGTGACACTTTACAGTCACATTAGTATTCAAAGGTGCCCAACACTACTGTATCATTAGCCCACACTAAACGCCCCGAACAGTTAAATCACATTTTCCCCCCTTTATCAACAAAAAGTCAACCTTTCATCACTCACACTATCTTGTGTTGTGAATTTAAAATACAGAAACACTTCTCCTCCTCCCGGTGCTTGGCTCGTAGAAATTGATTCAGAGTAGAATGGAACTGTTTTCTGTGGTCATTTGACAATAAGAAAGGGTGTTTTTGTGGTAGAAACACACATCTGTTGGCCTGCAAAGTGTATACACAGCTCCAGATGGCTAGCTGCGTAGCTTCTCCTTCAAGACCAAGTGCTTCGGCAAGCCACCACTCTTTGTTTTGCTCATTTTCTGAAACTAACATAGCCTTAATGCATGGCGAATTAGCTAGATATCCATCCAGATTCTGCTATAGATAGCTATAAATCCACCACCATCATTGTCTTAGTGCAGTACAGCATGGTGGACTTAGATAGCTGTCAAGCGTAGCATTAAAGCAAGGGTGAACAAGCTAACTAACTAGCCAGATGTTAGCTAGCTAATTGCACAATGCTTAAAGGCTCATTGACTGTAAACATTAAAGCATCGTGATATTAGCTAATTATCTAGCATTTAAGCATGGTAAAACAAGCCAGCTAATTAGCTTGATAGCTAGCTAAATCCACCATGCTTTAAGGCTTATTTTCGGGACCCAGAGTAGCTTTAGAGCATGGTTGAAGTAGCTAGCTGACTAACAGAGTTGGCATGCTTTAGCAACACAGTCTCACGGCATTTCGTGTTATAGTCACGAAATTAATCTATTGATTCGTGTTCACCAACACGATTTCGCCATTTTTTTCGTGTCACACAGAACGATTTTAAAAGCAATGTAAATAATAACAAATTAGAAGGAAAAAGACATTTAAAAAAATTCAGATTTAAGTATTCTGACACAGAACGATTTTAGAAGCAATGTATTTCTATTGGTAGTATGTTTCGTGCCTGCACCAAATAATAACAAATTAGAAGGAAAAAAAAATGACATAAAATACAGATTTCAGTATTCTGAGGCTCTGAGCCATTTATTTTCCTCACTGACGGCAAAAAAACTCAGACATTATACAATTTAAAATAAAAGGGATAGGGTTAGGCTTAGGGTAAGATATTGAGTAAGAACATGTTTTTATGAACCACACAGCTTCTGGTATTCCAAGACCCGACCGGACAAAAAGACGTGTTGCAGGCACGAAACATACTACCAATAGAAATACATTGCATTTAAAATCGTTCTGTGTGACACGAAAAAAAGGTGAAAATCGTGTTGGTGAACACGAATCAATAGATTAAATTAATTTTGTGACTAATAACACGAAATGCCGTGAGACTGGGTTGCTACACCACGTCTTTTTGTCCGGTCGGGTCTTGGAAGACCAGAAGCTGTGTGGTTCATAAACACATTTTCTTACTCAATATCTAACCCTAAGCCTAACCCTATCCCTTTTATTTTAAATTATATAATGTCTGAGTTTTTTTGCCGTCAGTGAGGAAAAGAAATGGCTCAGAGCCTCAGAATACTGACATCTGTATTTTATGTCATCTCTTTTTCCTTCTAATTTGTTATTATTTGGTGCAGGCACGAAACATACTACCTATAGAAATACATTGCTTCTAAAATCGTTCTGTGTCAGAATACTGAAATCTGTTTTTCCTTCTAATTTGTTATTATTTACATTGCTTTTAAAATCGTTCTGTGTGGCACGAAAAAAATGGCGAAATCGTGTTGGTGAACACGAATCAATAGATTAATTTCGTGACTATAACACGAAATGCCGTGAGACTGTGTTGTTCTATGTCTATGCTTTGTCCCCCTCCACCTCTCTACAGTCAGTGCAGAGCCATCAATCTTTCACTCCAAGAACAAGGGCATCTCGCACTTTAAGAGTTAGTCATTTGGGGGATTTTGTGCCTATCGATCTGGCTTTAAGTGGATTACCGTGAAGGAACTGTCCGTGGTTTTATATGAGAACTTCAGCCGTAGGACCACACACACACACACACTGAATATTTCACACCAGGGGGTTTATAGGAAGAGATAGGTGGAAGTGTTTGGGATTCTGCTCAGGATCAGGGTGTGTTTCGAGTAGGTGGATTGGTGATTTGAGTATATGCTGCTCCAAAAACAAGTTCAACAATAATGAAAACAAGCTGTTTTCACTTGAAATAATACAAAACTCGGCCAATAGAACAAGTGAAAATGTGCTTGGTAAGATTTTCTTGATTGAGATGGGTTGTTAAGATAAATCAGATCTTGTAATTAGCTGGGAGAACACATTTTGAACTATATTTTCCCAGAATCAGGAAATGTTGTGTTACAATATGAGCCAAAAGTGTTCTGTTTTCTGATGTTAGTCGGTGATTTTCTGATAAATGTGTAAACAAATATGTGTTTCATCTGATATACAACTCAAAATAAGATGTTTTGACTTAACAAGATGATGCATTGTCTAAAAACAAGACCCAATATCTCACTGCAGTGTTACTTCTGAAGTTATTATGTCTTATATCAGGTGCAGAGACATATTCTGACTAGATATTAGACAAATATACTTGGCAAGATTTTGAGTGTTTGTAGTGAGGGGGTTTATAGGAAGAGATAGGTGGAAGTGTTTGGGATTCTGCTCAGGATCGGGGTGTGTTTGGAATGGATTGGTGATTTGAGTGTATATGTGTGTGTGTTAGGGATCCCATCTTTATAACCCTGTTTGTTTGTGCCTATTGTCCTCAGGTGGCTTCTCCCCCCGCAGGCCCTTAATGCCTACTACCTCCCTAACAAGAATCAAATGGGTGAGTGCGTGACTCTTCCTCGCGCATACTGATATCTGGGTTTTCTCTATCATCTGTTTCAACACACACACATAATAATAATAAAGCTTTATTTATATAGCACTTTTCATACAACACATGCAGCTCAAAGTGCTTTACAAAATGACACACGTTATAATTAAACAACAAGAAACTCCCCTTGTTAAGAATGTTACGTGCAGCAAAATATAACATTTGATGAGGTTAAGAGACACAAGGAGGTGAAATGTATGATAATACAAATAAAATAAATAATGGTTTCTCTCTGACAGATAAGACACAAGACAACTGAATCGATGCAACAAAATAAAATGTAAAACCCCATAAAGCAAAGTGAACATATAGGTACAACAGAAATACAAATAAAAAGATAATACTATCTATCTATCTATCTATCTATCTATCTATCTATCTATCTATCTATCTATCTATCTATCTATCTATCTATCTATCTATCTATCTATCTATCCATCTATCCATCTATCCACCTATCCACCTACCCACCTACCCACCTACCCACCTACCCACCGACCGACCGACCGACCGACCGACCGACCGACCGACCGACCGACCGACCGACCGACCGACCGACCGACCGACCGACCGACCTACCTACCTACCTACCTACCTACCTACCTACCTACCTACCTACCTACCTACCTACCGACCGACCGACCGACCTACCTATCGACCTACCTACCTACCTACCTACCTACCTACCTACCTACCTACCTACCTACCTACCTACCGACCGACCGACCGACCGACCGACCGACCGACCTACCTACCTACCTACCGACCGACCGACCGACCGACCGACCGACCGACCGACCGACCGACCGACCGACCGACCGACCGACCTACCTACCTACCTACCTACCTACCTACCTACCTACCTACCTACCGACCGACCGACCGACCGACCGACCTACCGACCTACCTACCGACCTACCTACCTACCTACCGACCGACCGACCGACCGACCGACCTACCTACCTACCTACCTACCTACCGACCGACCGACCGACCGACCGACCTACCTACCTACCTACCTACTTACCTACCTACCTACCTACATCTATCTATCTATCGATAGTGCTGATTATTCTAATAAAGGCTAAACGATTAAGAAATCAAAAAGCCCAACGTACAAATAAATATTTCTATTGAAGCATGTTAGATTGATAAAATAAGATAAAATCCTTTAAGACAATATAAAGGTAGGTAAATAATAAAGACTAAAAGAAGGTCCCAACCCTTCCCCCTATTTGCCATTCGTTACACGTAATTACACCATGTTTTCCCGTCTGTCTTTCAACAAGTCATGTCAGCCACGCTTAGTCGAAAAGGAGAAAAAGCCTCCACCTCCTCATATCATATTCCTTCTCATCACTCACTTTCTACTTCAATCTCCACCTCACATACTTAATACCCCCCTGGAGGAAAAACAAGCAGTAACACTGTCCCGCGTTTTAACAAATCTGGCCTGCTGTCTGCCGGCTGGATTAAATCTCTCGCAGAGAAATCAATGCTGGCGGATGCTAGAGGACGAGGGGAGTCAGAGAAACACAGTCATCACAGAGCCTTCGGACGTTTTTATTACCACCCACACACTTTGTTATCTCACTTCAGTCCTGAGCTGCGTATTTATTTTCTCAAACTCAAATTAATCTCTACTTACCACTGGTGTAAAGTACTGTACTTCTACTCCACTACAGTTCAGAGGTAAATGGTGTACTTTTACTCCACTACATGTATTTAATACCTTTAGTTACTTCACAGATGTGGATGAATGATGTGAAATATAATCAAGTGTTAAATCAGACTTTAGTTCCACCTGGAGTAAATCCACAAGCTACCCTGCAGTATACAAAGTCATTCAAACTAGCTGCACCTTTACCAGCTTTGAGAACACTTTAATGATCAATCATTATAAAACATATCATATATATTATTCTGAAATGGACCAATCTGCACAATGACTACTTTTACTGTCGCTACTTTCACTATATTTTGATGATAATACTTTTCTACTTTTACTTGAGTAACATTTTGAATGAAGGACTTTTACTGTAACAGAGTATTCCTACACTCTGGTACTTCTACTTTTACTCAAGTACAAGATCTGAGTACTTCTACTTTTACTAAGTACAAGATCTGAGTACTTCTACTTTTACTCAAGTACAAGATCTGAATACTTCTACTTTTACTCAAGTACAAGATCTGAGTACTTCTAGTTTTACTCAAGTACAAGACCTGGTACAAGACCTGAGTACTTCTACTTTTACTCAAGTACAAGATCTGAGTACTTCTACTTTTACTCAAGTACAAGATCTGAGTACTTCTACTTTTACTCAAATACAAGACCTGGTACAAGATCTGAGTACCTCTACTTTTACTCAAGTACAAGACCTGAGTACTTCTACTTTTACTCAAGTACAAGACCTGAGTACTTCTACTTTTACTCAAGTACAAGACCTGAGTACTTCTACTTTTACTCAAGTACAAGATCTGAGTACCTCTACTTTTACTCAAGTACAAGACCTGAGTACTTCTACTTTTACTCAAGTACAAGACCTGAGTACTTCTACTTTTACTCAAATACAAGACCTGGTACAAGATCTGAGTACCTCTACTTTTACTCAAGTACAAGATCTGAGTACTTCTACTTTTACTCAAATACAAGACCTGGTACAAGATCTGAGTACCTCTACTTTTACTCAAGTACAAGACCTGAGTACTTCTACTTTTACTCAAGTACAAGGTCTGAGTACTTCTACTTTTACTCAAGTACAAGATCTGAGTACTTCTACTTTTACTCAAGTACAAGGTCTGAGTACTTCTACTTTTACTCAAGTACAAGACCTGAGTACTTCTACTTTTACTCAAGTACAAGACCTGAGTACTTAAAAAAGTATGTAAACCAAAACTAACACGACAACATAATATTCATGATAATTCATCCTAACTCTCCTTTTAGTCATTCAATATCTATTTTGTCCGTTTTGTTTCACTTGTCATTTACTTATTTAGATAAGATAAGATAAGATGGTACTTGATTGATCCCAATTTGGGAACATGTTTGTGTTGCAGCAGCATAACATGTTGGTAATATTTGGTCTTTGTTGTCCTTTTTTGTAGTCAGTTTGTGTCTTTGTATTAATTTTGCAAGTGTTTTTGTATTTCTGTACTCACTTTGTGTTTCCATTGAGACTGATTTGTATATTTGTCACACAGAGTGCAGAAAGATATGTATTTCTGGGTGTTTTACACTTCCTCTCAAACTTTCCGTTCCCTAGAGGAACTTTGATATTTATACAAAACAACTTTTCCCACTTAAAAACCAGAGTGTGTGATATTCAAAGTCCTGTCTAGGCATTTCCTCTTCCCTCATGGTGTTTTTCTGAATCTCCTTTCCAGTGTTTCCTGCCGGCATCCTTCAGCCCACTCTCTACAACCCAGAGTTCCCACAGTGAGTATCCATATTCAGAGGTGGGAAGTAGTGGAGTACAAATACTTTGTTACTGTACTTAAGTACATGTTTCTGGTATCAGTACTTTACTCCACTACTTATTTTTCTGATGACTTTTTACTTTGACTTCTTATATTTTGAACCCAAATACCTGTACTTTCTACTTCTTACATTTTGAACACAAATACCTGTACTTTCTACTTCTTACATGTTGAACACAAATACGTGTACTTTCTACTTCTCACATTTTGAACACAAATACCTGTACTTTCTACTTCTCACATTTTGAACACAAATACCTGTACTTTCTACTTCTTACATTTTGAACACAAATACCTGTACTTTCTACTTCTCACATTTTGAACACAAATACCTGTACTTTCTACTTCTTACATTTTGAACACAAATACCTGTACTTTCTACTTCTTACATTTTGAACACAAATACCTGTACTTTCTACTTCTTACATGTTGAACACAAATACCTGTACTTTCTACTTCTTACATGTTGAACCCAAATACCTGTACTTTCTACTTCTTACATTTTGAACACAAATACCTGTACTTTCTACTTCTCACATTTTGAACACAAATACCTGTACTTTCTAATTCTTACATGTTGAACCCAAATACCTGTACTTTCTACTTCTTACATTTTGAACCCAAATACCTGTACTTTCTACTTCTTACATTTTGAACACAAATACCTGTACTTTCTACTTCTCACATTTTGAACACAAATACCTGTACTTTCTACTTCTTACATGTTGAACACAAATACCTGTACTTTCTACTTCTTACATGTTGAACACAAATACCTGTACTTTCTACTTCTTACATGTTGAACACAAATACCTGTACTTTCTACTTCTTACATGTTGAACCCAAATACCTGTACTTTCTACTTCTTACATGTTGAACCCAAATACCTGTACTTTCTACTTCTCACATTTCCCAAACAGGCTGGTTCCTTTAGTTTGAATGTGTGTTTGGTGGCGTGATCATTATTATTTAGAGTCATTGCGTGCCTATTGATTTGAACACGATCCGTGTATCCATCATTTCCTGGTCTTCTCTAAAGAAGAGGGACCAATGAAAACGTTGTCATGTTGCCGTTGTTCAGCATGGAAACATTCATTAGCTAACAATGACATTATTGTTCTATTAATATAAAGGGAGGTCAGGTACTCTTTAAAACAGCTGCTAGTTATGGGTACTTTTTACTGAAGTACATTTCAAAGCCCTCTTTACTTTGACTTGAGTAAAGAAGTTTAGTCAGTACTTCTACTTTCACCAGAGTATTTTTAAACACGAGTATCTGTACTTCTACTTGAGTAAAGGATGTACTTTTGCCATCTCTGTCCATTGGGAGGAAAGAACCTCACCACCACCACATCAACACATCTCATTAAAGCCCACGTTATTCCCGACAAATCCTCTTCTTCTTCAGGTCCCAAGAAAACCTGATTAAAGCAATTTAACGAGCCACCCAGAGCTCAATTACTGAGCAAGGTGCTGCTAATGGAGCAGGTGTCATTGAGAGGTCGCCTCCCTAAATCTGAGTCCATGGAGTAATTTGATGGAGCGTGAAAGGAGATCGCCTCCCGCTCGGACTCTTATTGTCTATTTATCTCCGTGAACTCTCTGAGATGAGATGGAGACATGAATCAGAGTCACAGCATTATTGGACAAAGATATTCATAACTTTGAATTAGTCGTACCAGAACACAAATGATCTCTTGTTCATTGAGGAAGAAGCTTTCATATTGTGGGGTATTTCACCGCTTACTAATAGTACAAAATGTTCTGTTTGCAATTAAAATGATTAAAAGAGGGGGACATGTGGTTCATACTTGCTATTTTGATGCATGTATCTTTTGTAGGGGTTGACCAGACTTTGACTATTTAAATTGTCCCCAGCAACTCAACGTCAAACTGTTAAAAATAATCTCCTCAGTTTGTTTCACATCTCCAATAAGGTGTTTTGTTTTTGCCCCATCAGAAACTCCCCTTACTTCTGAATTATAAATGTTTCCATCAATATGCCATTCAAGTACATTTACCATAGCAGCATAACTATATTAAAATCGACAGAAAGCAGCCGAGCATAAGGTCTTCAAGATGTTTTAAAGCAGAGCACGGCTCTGCAGCGCCGATGAATTCGTAGGTAAACAACTGTTTTATACTCTTTGTTTCCCGAAGCTATTCACTGAGGAGCAAACCCTCTGCTGCCAGTATTCAGTATTATTCTAAACCAGTTCATACACCACAGTCCAACAAGCTGCACCTGCTGCATTCACACAGGACTCAACCAGTCGCTGAAATATCAATTCATGTTTCACAATATTTGAGGGAAAGAAGGTGCAGCATTTCTCTTTTAAATTGAGCAACATAGTAAAAAGGTTTCAGATTTTGATTCCTAAACATCCTGCAGAATAAGATCTGTAAACATCGCTGCACCAAAATAATTTATACTGCATGGTATTTCAATCTGATTTTGCCGAATTAAATATCTAGATAGCGTTATGGATATTGAAGTAGTTCATATTGCAAAAATCAATAGACTTGATATGAACTGTTCAGCTGTAATTTACACACACACAAACACAAACATTTGTTAATTAGCACTTTGTGTAACGAACATTAGCTTACAATTCTGTGGCACTTCATTAGAGGTGATCTACTGTGTGTGTGTGTGTGTGTGTGTGTGTGTGTGTGTGTGTGTGTGTGTGTGTGTGTGTGTGTGTGTGTGTGTGTGTTGTGTGTGTGTGTGTGTGTGTGTGTGTGTGTGTGTGTGTGTGTGTGTGTGTGTGTGTGTGTGTGTGTGTGTGTGTGTGTGTGTTTGTGTGTGTGTGTGTGTGTGTGTGTTTGTGTCTTGAGTTCATTTTATGCCTTTTTGTGGTCATTTTGAGTCTTTAGGTAGTCATTTTTGTCCCTTTGTCCCTCTGTCTGTGATAATTTGGAGTCTCTTTGTGTTCATTTTGAATCTTTCTCTCTCATTCTGTGTCTGTTTTAGTGATATCGTGGCCTTGATGGTCATGCTATGTCTCTTTGTGTTCATTCTGAGACTTTTGTGGTAATTTAGCATCTTATTTTGGTCATTTCTTCTGATTTACCCCTCAGCCCTAATGTATACCTTTGCCCCTCCCCCTCCTTACAAACACAAACATTTGTTAATTAGGACTTTGTGTACCCAACATTAGCTAACACTTCTGTGTCTTCATTAGAGGTGATCACCACTACTTCCACTACCTGCTGCCGCGCATGCTAATCGATATTAATTAATTAATGAGGTACTGTAGCAAAGTGTGTGTGTGTGTGTGTGTGTACCTGTCCCCTTGAAGTTATTACTGCAGTAGCCCTAACCTCCCATAAACTCTCACTCCCACACACACACACACACACACACACACACACACACACACACACACACACACACACACACACACACACTCCCACACACACTCCCACACACACACACACACACACACACACACACACACACCTCCACCACGATGTAGAGTATAATGAAGCTTCAATCAGCCGTTAGTTTTAGCGGGGGAGTAGCAGCGTATCGACTAGCTGTCAGAAAGTAATTTTCAGATGTGGCCATGTGAGTCTGGCCTCTCATCGCTCTCCATATCTGCATGAAGCACAAACACAGCACTCTTCCTCCACCTGCAGGGGTCAAGGAGAGGTGGAGCGGCTGTTTTACACAAGGTCGGGTTGCATTATGTTCAGAGGAGGGAGGTAACTAAGTACATATACTCAAGTACTGCACTTAAGTCGAATGTTTAGGTACTTTACTGCCATTTTATGCTACTGTGTACTTCTACTCCACTACAGTTCAGAGGTACATGGTGTACTTTTACTCCACTACATGTATTTAATACCTTTAGTTACTTCACAGATCTGGATGAATGATGTGAAATCTAATCAAGTGTTAAATCAGACTTTAGTTCCACCTGGAGTAAATCCACAAGCTACCCTGCAGTATACAAAGTCATTCAAACTAGCTGCACCTTTACCAGCTTTGAGAACACTTTCATGATCAATCATTATAAAACATATCATATATATTATTCTGAATTGGACCAATCTGCACAATGACTACTTTTACTGTCGCTACTTTAACTATATTTTGATGATAATACCTTTCTACTTTTACTTGAGGAACATTTTGAATGCAGGACTTTTACTGTAACAGAGTATTCCTACACTCTGGTACTTCTACTTTTACTCAAGTACAAGATCTGAGTACTTCTACTTTTACTCGAGTACAAGATCTGAGTACTTCTACTTTTACTCACGTACAAGATTTGAGTACTTCTACTTTTACTCAAGTACAAGACCTGAGTACTTTTACTCAAGTACAATATCTGAGTACTTCTACTTTTACTCAAGTACAAGACCTGAGTACTTTTACGCAAGTACAATATCTGAGTACTTCTACTTTTACTCAAGTACCAGATCTTCTCCCACCTCTTATTTAGTTTCAACAACTTGTGAAATAAAGTCTTATCTTCACTCTGAAAAGGTCCCATTGCTGATTTTCCCTCACATGAAAAACCGATGTTTTCTAATCAGTGTGAACAGAACAAAATGTGGCATTGATCTCCTTCTTATTCAATACCAATCCGTGCCACGTGGAAACAAAATTAGATCCCGAGTGAAAGTCGCACTCGATCACGTTCGGCTGAGCAGAATCAGCAATGAGGACATCGGGACAAAAGCAGCAGAGAAAGCCCAGAGCTGTTCGTAATGAGACACTGGGAATCAGTCAGAAGCTCTTGCTTTGTCCTAAAGTCAGTGGATCAGCTACTGGCTAACTTTGGGCTTGTTGGTAACTTTAGATTAGATATCGCTTTTTTCCTTTTGCTTTAAAAGCTGATGTCATGCTTTACTTAAGACCTGGGAAGCTTCAACATCCTTTATAGCAACTGAACTTCAAGCCATGGTTGTGTACTTATTTGTCTTTATATTGTATTATATTACCAATGTGTACTTTTCCTCTCTATAATAAGTTAGCTTAGTCTTTATCATGATTCTGAACTAATAATTAAAAAAGTTAGTCATGGCAAATAGAGTTCATACCAGACCAACTACAGCAGCAGTTTAGGAATACTACTTTTATTTGAGAAGTTCATGGTCTTGTTAAGTATAGGCATTCAATTCAAATACTTTTTAAGCACCTGTTGATACCAATGACCTACATTTTAACATTTCCCTTCCTTTTGCCAGGTCTCTGAACTACGGAGGGATAGGAGCGATCATTGGCCACGAGCTCACACATGGATATGATGACTGGGGTAAGGACATTTCTCCACCTGTAATCCATTCAGCTAAAAGCCATTCAGCTTTAATCAATCACTCAAAAGCTAACAACCATCGTCATTTTCACCATTTTGAGTTAAACTCCATTTTACAGAAATAGCTAAGGTTCCCATTATCATTCATTCAATTCAACATTTGTAGCCACAATCTCAAGCTTTCTTTTCCAGTCAAAAGAGCTGCCCTCTATACGTCTGAACACTTTAATGACTGGATGAAATGTCTGCCCACCAAATACTGGAATGACTTTGAGTAATACTTCCAGCTTTATTGTCAGAAAGTCTTTCTACAAATATGATTTGATATATTAGCAGTTCAGATGGTTCTTGAACGGGATACATCCACCAAAGTCAATGGCCAGAAAAAGCAAGAGTTCCCTGATGATTTATCCAATTTTAAACTATTTGTTGCCACCATCTCTAACTTTCATTCCTGCTCAAAAGAGCTGCTCTTTATACGTCTGAAGACTTTGATGAAAATGTGAAATGTCTGCCCACTGACCTACCAAGTACTGGAATAACTGAGAGTAATACTGACTGGTGTGTCGGTCCAATATTAGTCTATTTATCAGAAAGTTATTAAATGTAGATAGATAAGCCGCCCAGATGGCTCTTGAACTGGGAACATCCAACAAAGTCAATGGCCAGAAAAATCAAGAGTTCCTTGTTGATTTATGCAATTTTACATCATTTGTTCCCACCATCTCTAACTTTCATTCCCGCTCAAAAGAGCTGCTTTTTAAGAAACGTCTAAAGACTTTAATGACAATGTGACATTTCTGCCCTCAACCTACCAAATACAATAATACCTTTGAGTAATACTGACTGGTACGTAAGTGCAATACCAGATTATTTATCAGAAAGTTATTCTACAAATGTAGTTGCGTAGAAAAAGTGGTTCGGTTGTCTCTTGAACTGGATACATCCGCCAAAGTCAATGGCCAGAAAAAGCAAGAGTTCTCTGACGTGTTATGCAATTTTAAACCATTTGTTGCCTCCATCTCTAACTTTCATTCCCGATCAAAAGAGCTTCCCTTTATACGTCTTAATGATGGTGTGAAATTCCTCCCAGCCACCTAACAAATACTGGAATAACTTTGAGTGATACTAATTGGTACATAAGTGCAATACTAGCTTTATGTCTCTCTTGAACTGGAAACATCCGCCAAAGTCAATGGCCAGAAAAAGCAAGAGTTCTCTGATGATTTATTTACACAATATTTTGCCAGATTCTCTAACTTTCATGCACGTTAAGATACGCCCGAAGTCTCCGATGACAATGTGAAATTTCTGCCCGCAACCTAACAAATACTAGAACAAATGTCAGTATTTCTGACTGGTAGGTTGATGCACTTCCTGCTTTATTGCCAGAAGTTATTCTACAAATGTAGTTGCGTAGAAAAAGTAGTTCAGATGGCTCTTGAACTGGGGACATCCACCAAAGTCAATGGCTAGAAAAAGCAAGAGTTCCCTGATGATCTTTGCTATTTTGAAATAATTTAGTCCATCAATTCAGGTGGCTATTTAACTGGATGCATCTGCCAAATACAAACCCAACGTTTTGCCTCCCAGTGGTTTTAGTCTTGCTTCTAAAATGGCGCGCTGGGCAGCTTTTTGGACTGTGAAGGAAAGTTTTAGGTTGTGTTGTCTCCATGCTAACACTGGCCCCCCCTGCCCTTTATCCCTTCATCTTAGTGATGCAATGGTTCATGTCCCTAGGGGGCCAGTATGACCGCCACGGGAACCTCAAGCAGTGGTGGACGGAGGAGTCCTACACCAAGTTCCAGAAGAAAGCCGAGTGCATCGTCAAGCTCTACGATAACTTCACCGTGTATAACCAGAAGGTGGGTCAGAAACACAAACGCTATGTTGGTCAGAGTTAAATTGGAAAGATACATTATCTGGCTAAATGCTGTTGTTTTGGGTACCCCAGAAACCCAGGTTTATTTTTTACAAATAGATATAACCATGACACTTCCCCAGTTAATTACTTACATTACAAAGCCAAGGAGGGTCAGGCCGATTGTCGAACCTCAGATTAAGGAGGAACAATGCAGATTCCGTCCTGGCCGTGGAACGACGGATCAGTTTTTTACTCTTGCAAGGATCCTGGAGGGGGCCTGGGAGTACGCTGATCCGGTCTACATGTGTTTTGTAGATTTGGAGAAGGCGTATGACCGGGTTCCCAGGGAGTTACTGTGGGGGGTGCTGCAGGAGTATGGGGTGAGGGGGTCTCTTCTCAGGGCCATCCAATCTCTGTACTCCCAAAGCGAGAGCTGTGTACGGGTCCTCGGCAGTAAGTCGGACCCATTTCCGGTGAGGGTTGGCCTCCGCCAGGGCTGCGCTTTGTCACCAATCCTGTTTGTAATATACATGGATAGGATTTCGAGGCGTAGTCGTGGGGGAGGGGGTCTGCAGTTCGGTGGACTAAGGATTGCACCACTGCTTTTTGCAGATGATGTGGTTCTAATGGCTTCATCGGTCTGCGACCTTCAGCACTCACTGGATCGGTTCGCAACCGAGTGTGAAGCGGCTGGGATGAGGATCAGCACCTCAAAATCTGAGGCCATGGTTCTCAGCAGGAAACCCATGGACTGTCCACTCCAAGTAGGGAATGAGGCCTTACCCCAAGTGAAGGAGTTCAAGTATCTCTGGGTCTTGTTCTCGAGAGAGGGAACAATGGAGCGTGAGAGGGGCCGGAGAATCGGAGCAGCGGGAGCGGTACTGCAGTCGCTTTACCGCACCGTTGTGACGAAAAAGAGAGCTGAGCCAGAAGGCAAAGCTCTCTGTCTACCGGGCCATTTCCGTTCCTACCCTCACCTATGGTCATGAAGGATGGGTCATGACCGAAAGAACGAGATTGCGGATACAAGCGGCCGAGATGGGTTTTCTCCGCAGGGTGTCTGGCGTCTCCCTTAGGGATAAGGTGAGAAGTTCAGTCATCCGGGAGGGACTCGGAGTTGAACCGCTCCTCCTTCGTGTCGAAAGTAGCCAGTTGAGGTGGTTCGGGCACCTAGTAAGGATGCCACCTGGGCGCCTCCCTAGGGAGGTGTTCCAGGCACGTCCAGCTGGGAGGAGACCAAGGGGTAGACCTGGGACCAGGTGGAGGGATTATATCTCTTCGCTGGCCTGGGAGCGCCTTGGGACCCCCCAGTCAGAGCTGGTTGATGAGGCCAGGGAAAGGAAGGTTTGGGGCTCTCTGCTGGAACTGATACCTCCGCGACCCGACCACGGATAAGCGGGAGAAGATGGATGGATGGACAAAGCCAATGACAATAACAACAATGACATTTATTTTGTGGATTACAACTTTTCTGAAATGTTACATTTGTAAATGGGCCATTATCTTATTTATAAGGTGCACATTTGCATACATTTTTAGAACAGAAATGTAAACGTTGGATAAAGCCAGGTTCAAAATAACTTGTAACTGTTATTGAAATGGATCAGAAACACAACGCTCTGTAAAAGTCCTCATTTGCATCGGCCATGTTATGTTGATCAGAGTAAACTTTATTGGTGTCATTTTTCTTTCTTGGTACCACAGAATAATTCAGAAAAATAAACCTGCTGCATTTCTACATCCTAATGTCACCTTCTTTCAAGGAGGGTAGAGAACAGAGGGTTGTTTTTTTAACTAAACTTTATAACAATAGTATAACAAATTTCGTGAAATGTAATATTTACATTTGATAAATGGGGCATTATCTTATAATAAGGAGCTAACTTGCATACATTCCCATACATGTAAACATTGGATAAAGCCAGGTTCAAAATGATCGATTCATTTTGTTGACATGGTTTTATGAAGGGGCTTTTTGGATATCTCTTTTGAACTTTACATAAAACAGAACACAACGTTTAGCTGTTATTGAAATGTCTATTGAGATGTTTTATTTCCAAAATAACCCAAACTCCAAAAATGTACCAGAGCATGAAAAACAAGTATTTGCCTCGGATGTCTTGCATTGTTCCAAACTGTGACTGAAATTATAAAATCAACAGGGCAGATATCTATTAGTCACTTTACACTCGACTGGTTTAAGCACATCCCATTTTCAGAGCCAAATCCTGCTCAGCGAGCTAACGCTAGGTGGCTGGCAAATGTATCTCACATTCACTCACAAATGGATCCTGCATTTCAGTGTCAGTACAATCGTACATTTAACTAAGATAACTGGTTGCTCCGTGTATTAAGTGATGGGGAAGTCATATTGGAAAACAGGGTAGAAATCAGCAGGGTAACCAAGATGAAGGAAGTATTAGAACGCCTTTATTTGAGTGGCTTAATCATTAATTAGAGTCAGGGCTTATAACAAACATGAACAGTTATTTTTTTATTTAGATAATTTAAAGTTTGGCTTAAGTCAATGGAGATTCACTCAACATACTGTACGTTAGCCAATCTTTTTCTATGCTTTGATTTAATGATTGCAGCTAAGCTTAATGTGTCCTACCTAAAGTTGTAAACAGTCAGACTGTGACATCCAAATCATGCTGTGACATCAATCAACAAAGTGCCGTCCAAACATGTGAAACGTTATGTAACCTATCTTTGTCAGTTCCTTAAAATGTATCAATAGTTTAAGCTGTTTATATATTGGGTTTGACCAAACATGTTTTACATTGTCCCCAAAAGGTTGCAAAGCTATAACTAAAAGGGAATGTGCTTTACTGCTCAGGCTCCTATGCTTTATTGCACATACACATTTACACAATGTATTATTTATACACAAGGTTGACTGGTATTAGGTTAATGTACAATATGATAAAGCTTGGTGTTTTATTATTTCGTATTCACTGCTTCCCTGCTTATCTATGAAAGGTTTTTGCAATATTATTTTTAAGATACCAAATAGATACGCATGATTACATGTAAGAATCGGTTTGAAGTACAACTCTACTCGAACAAACGTTCCTATAATCTCTTCAGCGTCCCCGTAGGAGCTTTTTTCATCTCTGATTATGCTTCGAGATTTATAACAGAGAGCCTGCATTATGTATGAAGTGGAGTTTGAAAAATATGAGCAATTACCTAGAAAGGCAGATTTTAACAACAGACCATATTTTGTTGTACGACGAGCCATGCAGGAGCTGTGCAGTCAGAACATATCCGCTTCTCTAGCTTCTATGTTTTAGTATTCAAACAAATCTTCACATAAATAGTTATTAATACAATTTAAGTACATTAATTCAAGAGGTTTTTTGGTTCTGGGCGTAGTTTAGTATCTGTGTCACTCAAATGTAAAGGAATAGCTTGAGAGGTTTTTCTTTCTCGGACATAAGCACAAGGTGTGTGTGTGTGTGTGTGTGTGTGTGTGTGTGTGTGTGTGTGTGTGTGTGTGTGTGTGTGTGTGTGTGTGTGTGTGTGTGTGTGTGTGTGTGTGTGTGTGTGTGTGTGTGTGTGTGTGTGTGTGTGTGTGTGTGTGTGTGTGTGTGTGTGTGTGTGTGTGTGTGTGTGTGTGTGTGTGTGTGTGTGTGTGTGTGTGTGTGTGTGTGTGTGTGTGTGTACCAGTGTGTGTACCAGTGTGTGTTGTTCCTCTCGGTGTGTGTGTGTGTGTACCAGTGTGTTCTGTTCCTCTGTGTGTGTGTGTGTGTGTGTGTGTGTGTGTGCGTGTGTGTGTGTGTACCAGTGTGTGTTGTTCCTCTCGGTGTGTGTGTGTGTACCAGTGTGTTATGTTCCTCTGTGTGTGTGTGTGTGTGTGTGTGTGTGTGTGTGTGTGGTGTGTGTGTGTGTGTGTACCAGTGTGTTCTGTTCCTCTCGGTGTGTGTGTGTGTGTACCAGTGTGTTATGTTCCTCTGTGTGTGTGTGTGTGTGTGTGTGGTGTGTGTGTGGTGTGTGTGTGTGTGTGTGTACCAGTGTGTTCTGTTCCTCTCGGTGTGTGTGTGTGTGTACCAGTGTGTTATGTTCCTCTGTGTGTGTGTGTGTGTCTGTGTCTGTGTGTGTGTGTGTGTGTGTGTGTGTGTGTGTGTGTGTGTGTGTGTGTGTGTGTGTGTGTGTGTGTGTGTGTGTGTGTGTGTGTGTGTGTGTGGTGTGTGTGTGTGTGTGTGTGTGTGTGTGTGTGTGTGTGTGTGTGTGTGTGTGTGTGTGTGTGTGTGTGTGTGTGTGTGGAGATGTTTTCCATCTGCAGGATGAACATAATACACTCATACCGATTCATTTCCTATGGCGGTCTGACCGAGAACATCAAGGGTGTTTCACTGTTGAATAAATCACTCAAAATTCAATGCAAGTGGTGATCTTCAATTGTATATGTTCAAAGGCCTAGTGTGGAGGATAACATCAGGTCTTGAGGCAATTGGATGAAAAACACAATATTTATGATCAAAAACAAAGTCACTCGGTCACTGTTGACCCGAAACGCAAGAGAAGGGTTAAGGTATCAGTCTTCTCAGGAAGTGAATAAGCTCTGTAGAAATTGTAGAAATGTTCTTTTTGAATAACAAGACGAAAGTACATTTGTTTAAAAACCAAGAAATACCGATATTCGTCACATCCCAGATCCTTCCTTAAAGTACATCCTTGAAGTACATGTACACACAGTATAGGGAAGGAGATGTTCATTGTAGCGGACACAATCATAACTAAATAAACTGGAAATTAAACCCTAAATATAACTACCGCTGAGGCACCAGTAAGCTCCTTTATTTTCTTGTTAAGGGTATCAGTCTTCTGAGGAAGTGAATAAATGTAGACATTTCTTTTTGATTTATAAGACGAAATCAGACCTTAATTGAAAACTAAATATCGACATAAGTCACATCCCAGATCCTTCAATTAAGTACATCCTTGAAGTGCATGTACACACAGTATATGGTAGGAGATGTTAATATTGTTCAGAGTTTCAGTGTTTTCTTTCCGTGTGTTCAGGTGAACGGTCGTCTCACACTCGGGGAGAACATCGCCGACATGGGAGGACTGAAGCTGTCGTACTATGTGAGTAATATGTAATACCAGCTGTATTCAAATACTGTGGCTGTGTGTCTTCACCAAGTGTAAATATTAAAGTTTGCATTATCACCGTGAAGCACTTCTGTCCATCTTCGTTGTCGAAAATCTATCAAATCTAAAACCACTCTGCTATATATGTGCATATTTGCATTAAAGTAAAGAGCAGGAGTCAAACATATCTGTGTGTGTGTGTGTGTGTGTGTGTGTGTGTGTGTGTGTGTGTGTGTGTGTGTGTGTGTGTGTGTGTGTGTGTGTGTGTGTGTGTGTGTGTGTGTGTGTGTGTGTGTGTGTGTGTGTGTGTGTGTGTGTGTGTGTGTGTGTGTGTGTGTGTGTGTGTGTGTGTGTGTGTGTGTGTGTGTGTGTGTGTGTGTGTGTTTGACTGGATAGCAGAGTATAATTTAATTCCATATTGAAGTGTTTTTCTGAACAAAAGGAATGACTGATTTAAAAAAAAAAATATCATAATATAAAAGGCAACAACAGGGTCATAATGCCAGTTAGTCATGTCAATCATTTAGAGTGACTGAAATAAACAAGAAGGTGTTTACTACATTTCAGGGATTTCTACAAGGAGAAAGTATTGTTATTGTTATCTTATTTAAAGTGGCATAAGACCATTTGTTTTACTTCCCAACCATAGTGTTTTCAAAATAGTATGGCTGCAGAGTGGTGGTCCTAAACACGGAAATTAGTCAGCATTTTAGCACTTCCTGTTCCCTCACCTCAATGGTTTTTTCAAGTGTTTGTTAGCCTCAATTAAGGTCTTTGGTTAACACAAGCTGAAAGATTTTAAAATGTTGTTGCTAATAAGTGTGTAAATGAGACGACTAAACGTCATCACGGCCAGCATTAGCCGCCTTTAGCTTAGCGGTGGTGACGTGAAGTCATGTGACCGTGCTGTAGTTCCTTTATAGCCCAGCATTAGCCGCCTTTAGCTTAGCGGTGGTGACGTGAAGTCATGTGACCGTGCTGTAGTTCCTCTATAGCCCAACATTAGCCACCTTTAGCTTAGCGGTGGTGACGTGAAGTCATGTGACCGTGCTGTAGTTCCTTTATAGCCCAACATTAGCTGCCTTTAGCTTAGCGGTGGTGACGTGAAGTCATGTGACCATGCTGTAGTTCCTTTATAGCCCAACATTAGCCTCCTTTAGCTTAGCGGTGGTGACGTGAAGTCATGTGACCGTGCTGTAGTTCCTTTATAGCCCAACATTAGCCGCCTTTAACTTTAGCCTTTAGCTTAGCAGCTTAACAAACATTGGCTGTTTGTGGAGGGAACTAGGAAGAAGCTACCTTCAGGGTCTTCTACAGAAATACGTCCTCCCAATGCCACTCTGTTCCCAATTAAATCCCAAATGAATTACCCAATTACGCCAAGTGACTGGAAAACAATTAACGTCTTTGTACCTTTTCTCTCCTGTTGAGTGAGTGGCTCAGCCTGACGGCAAACTGTATTTTTTGTCTCATTGACATATTTTCCTGCCTCACTTAGCGCTCTGTTTCCTGCTGGAAATGGTTGCAAATGAGAACAAAAGAACATGAAAGAAGATGTGTATTTTGCTATAAAATTAACATATACTTGTAAATAATAAATAAAACATCTTCATGCTGAACAGAGACAATATATCTCTCTGAATGTGTTTTATTTTCGATGTGTTTTCCTCACCACATCAGGGGTGCTTTTTATTATGCTCAGCTGTCTCCTTGATTCCTTTCCTTGCCTTCAAGAGGAGTCGAAGCAACAGGCCTTAAACCAAATGAGATATCCTTGCCTTGAGGTGTCGTTTTAAAGCAACATAAATGAAAAATGACGCGATGCACAGCTGCACCGGCTGTCCTTTGTTTTGTTACACCGCTTTTTTTATAATCTCTCTCTGATAAGCAGAACAGTGTTCATGACAACTCACAGATTTACATTTAATTCAATTGAAAACATTGCATAATGTGACAAGAATATACGGATGTCATACTACATCAACACTTTAACGGACATACTATATATTTATAGCTTCTTTATATTCAATCAGGTTAAGATGCAAGATAACACGAGAATACGAGGAACAGATACAGTGGAAACATGTATAGCATTCAGATGTTTTTCCTTTGGTACACTCTTATATACATGTTTGTATGTTTTTTCTATATTGCACACACTAAAAAGGATAATTACTCACCTCTGTTTACCATAGTTAAGTCACTATTTAAATAGATGTTTTCAGGAACCTTAAAGCTACGATTGTGACATAATTTGACTGCTTTGAGTCTTTTGATAAGGAAAAAATCAATATATATGACCAAGTACGGTATGGTTTATTCAAAGAGTTTCTTAATTGACTTCAGAGAATAATAACTGTTTCGTAAAATGTACCATTGCCATTTTATAAAATTACTATACTTACTATACTGATATACACCTGAACATCAGCAGGAGAGGACTCTTTAAAGTAGAGACACTACATACTGATATACACCTGAACATCAGCAGGAGAGGACTCTTTAAAGTAGAGACACTACATACTGATATACACCTGAACATCAGCAGGAGAGGACTCTTTAAAGTAGAGACACTACATACTGATATACACCTGAACATCAGCAGGAGAGGACTCTTTAAAGTAGAGACACTACATACTGATATACACCTGAACATCAGCAGGAGAGGACTCTTTAAAGTAGAGACACTACATACTGATATACACCTGAACATCAGCAGGAGAGGACTCTTTAAAGTAGAGACACTACATACTGATATACACCTGAACATCAGCAGGAGAGGACTCTTTAAAGTAGAGACACTACATACTGATATACACCTGAACATCAGCAGGAGAGGACTCTTTAAAGTAGAGACACTACATACTGATATACACCTGAACATCAGCAGGAGAGGACTCTTTAAAGTAGAGACACTACATACTGATATACACCTGAACATCAGCAGGAGAGGACTCTTTAAAGTAGAGACACTACATACTGATATACACCTGAACATCAGCAGGAGAGGACTCTTTAAAGTAGAGGACACTACATACTGATATACACCTGAACATCAGCAGGAGAGGACTCTTTAAAGTAGAGACACTACATACTGATATACACCTGAACATCAGCAGGAGAGGACTCTTTAAAGTAGAGACACTACATACTGATATACATCTGGAAATGAGGGCCTCTTTAAGCTAAAAACGTGTCTCTTCCCACTTTAACTTACAGAGATTAAGCAACTTTCGACACCAGGTGAAGGGTCATCATTTCATTAATACCTCTTATCTTTCTCTATCCTCTCTCTGCAGGCGTACCAGAAGTGGGTGAGGGAGCACGGTCCGGAGAGACCCCTCCCCGGACTCAAATACACACACGAGCAGCTGGTGTTCATCGCCTTTGCACAGGTACCATGTTTCCTCTGTTGTCTTCAGAGATGGCAAAAGTACACACATCCTTTACTCAAGTAGAAGTACAGATACTCGTGTTTAAAAATACTCTGCTAAAAGTAGAAGTACTGACTAAACTTCTTTACTCAAGTAAAAGTAAAGAGGGCTTTGATATGTACTTAAAGGGGACCTATCATGCAAAATGCACTTTTGTACGTCTTTTATACATGAATATGTGTCCCCGGTGTTCCAGGGAACTCACCAAGTGTCAGAAAACACAACCCTCTCTATTTTCCTCCATACCCAAATCTCTAAAAAAGGGGCTGCAACGGATCTGATAAAAACTGATCCAGATTTGAACACTGTCCTGACGTCAGGACGGTGGCGCTACGGCTATTGGGCCAACTCCACCAATCAGGAGGAGACAGCCACGGCCATTGCCGTTCGAAAGCGCTGGAGACGCTGTAGTACATATGCCAGGCCTCTAGATGGTGCTGTTCTCACTGAATCAGCCCTTGCAAAAACAGAGCTAGAAATTGTCAAATTGAGCAAAATGAGGCATGGCTAAAATGCATGATCTGTTTGGTATTTTGAAAAAGAAAAAAGTATAAATATGCCTTATATAGGTATGGTCCTACACTATATTATTCAAATATAGCATGATAGCTCCACTTTAAGTAAAAAGTACCCATAACTAGCAGCTGTTTTAAAGAGTACCTGACCTCCCTTTATATTAATAGAACAATAATGTCATTGTTAGCTAATGAATGTTTCCATGCTGAACAACGGCAACATGACAACGTTTTCATTGGTCCCTCTTCTTTAGAGAAGACCAGGAAATGATGGATACACGGATCGTGTTCAAATCAATAGGCACGCAATGACTCTAAATAATAATGATCACGCCACCAAACACACATTCAAACTAAAGGAACCAGCCTGTTTGGGAAATGTGAGAAGTAGAAAGTACAGGTATTTGTGTTCAACATGTAAGAAGTAGAAAGTACAGGTATTTGGGTTCAACATGTAAGAAGTAGAAAGTACAGGTATTTGGGTTCAACATGTAAGAAGTAGAAAGTACAGGTATTTGGGTTCAACATGTAAGAAGTAGAAAGTACAGGTATTTGTGTTCAAAATGTAAGAAGTAGAAAGTACAGGTTTTTGTGTTCAACATGTAAGAAGTAGAAAGTACAGGTTTTTGTGTTCAACATGTAAGAAGTAGAAAGTACAGGTATTTGTGTTCAACATGTAAGAAGTAGAAAGTACAGGTATTTAAGTTCAAAATGTAAGAAGTAGAAAGTACAGGTATTTGTGTTCAAAATGTAAGAAGTAGAAAGTACAGGTATTTGAGTTCAACATGTAAGAAGTAGAAAGTACAGGTATTTGTGTTCAAAATGTAAGAAGTAGAAAGTACAGGTTTTTGTGTTCAACATGTAAGAAGTAGAAAGTACAGGTATTTGAGTTCAAAATGTAAGAAGTAGAAAGTACAGGTATTTGTGTTCAACATGTAAGAAGTAGAAAGTACAGGTATTTGTGTTCAACATGTAAGAAGTAGAAAGTACAGGTATTTGTGTTCAACATGTAAAAGTAAAAAGTGGTCAGAGAAATAAGTAGTGGAGTAAAGTACTGATACCAGAAACATGTACTTAAGTACAGTAACGAAGTATTTGTACTCCACTACTTCCCACCTCTGGTTGTCTTTCATCACATTTCCATGTTCAGTGGTTTCAGTTCTGCTCAGCTGCAGTCTCACATCACAGAGAGCAGGTAGCAGTTAGATATGAATCCAACATTAGCACACAAACATCCAGAGAGAAACGCAGCGCTGATGATGCTACAGTCGCTCTGAGCTCTGGACCCCCCCCCCCCCCCCCCCCGCTAACTATTATCATTGAATTTAAATGAAACCATTGACATGCAAAACTTAAAGTAACTGTGGCAAAATGTAGACTCATTTTTAACACAACATGATGTCTTTTAGCTTTAAAACTCTTGCCATAGTGTTAGTACTTACATATGTTCATAACACACATCTGTTTATAGTCCACATACCCAAGTATTATATATTAAGACACTAAACAGTTTCTTTATTGTACATTGTTTAACTTCTGTTCAATTCGACACGTATGTTTGACTTCTTTTGTTGCTGTGCATATTTTTTGTCCATTTATTATTATTTCATCCTAAAATGGAGTTGAGTTTTAACCCAATTTAAACTAAATATAAATAACAATCTTGTTTTTTCAGAACTGGTGTATGAAGAGGAGATCTCAGTCCATCTACCTGCAGCTGCTGACGGACAAACACGCTCCAGAGCACTACAGGTACACACACACACACACACACACACACACACACACACACACACACACACACACACACACACACACACACACACACACACACACACACACACACACACACACACACACACACACACACACAGATATCTGGAAACAATATCATAGTATGGTATGTCAAAAATATCAAAACATACAGTATGTCGAATCATTCAAAAATAATGACATAGTATAGTATTTGGAAATAAAGGCAAAGTATAGTATGACACAAATATTAAACAAATACTACATAGTATATACAGTATGTTGAAAGTATCTGATAAAATGGCATAGTATAGTAGGTCCAGAAATGTCAGAAAATGCTGAAAATATCAGGAAAAACTTCACGGTATACTATAAACATATTATGGAGTTATTAAGCCCACTTTTCAAATAAATTCAGTCAATTAAAGTTGAAAACATTTTTTTTTTAAATCGGAGCAAAAAAAATGCCCAATAATTTATTTAGATAACGAGCTTGAAATAGACCCTTCATATTTCCCCTTACTACAATCACTCTGTTTTAAGGGTTGAGCTGCCAACATGAAACCTGTGATGTAGACACACACACACACACACACACACACACACACACACACACACACACACACACACACACACACACACATATGCATATATATATCTGGAAAAAACCTCGCAAATATCTGAGGAAACTACATAGTATAAAAATATAAAAAATGTGAGATAATTCACTATGTTGAGTCATTTTTAAGAGATGACATAGTGTAATACGTCAAAAATGACCGAAAATGACGTAAATATCAGGAAAAACGAACAGAAAAGCCCAAGGCAAGGCAAGGCAAGGTTATTCATATAGCACCTTTCAACACAAGGCAATTCAAAGTGCTTTACAAAAATGAAAGACATTAAGAAAATTGCATTTAAAAACAGTAATTAAAAAGCAAAGATACAATACATATACAATATACAATACATAACACGCTCCAGATATATCCTTCATATTTCCCCTTATTATGAGCACTCTGAGGCACACTTTGTTTCTTAAATCATATTCAAGTGAAACGCATAATTGATTGATTTTGCTAACTGATAACTGAACTTATGAGGCAATAGACCTCTCCTCTAGTGAGTGGCCTCGGTATAGTATGTCAAAAATACTCATAGTTTAGTATGTTGACAATATCCAGTGAAAAACAATACATATATAACATGAATGAAATCAAAATGTAGTTTTCAGATCCAGCTCTTGTGTAACTCTCCTGTCTCCTCCCTGCAGAGTGATCGGCAGCGTCTCCCAGTTCGATGAGTTTGCTCGAGTTTTCCACTGCCCGAAGAGTTCGCCCATGAACCCTGTGGACAAATGCTCCGTATGGTGACCTCTGACCCCCCCCTAAAAGATAACCTGTTGACCCCTGGGACCCTCCTCTTCTTGTTAACGAGCCTAATCTGCCTGTAAAGGAGGAACTTTCTAACATCATCACCTTTTCAATTAGGAGTGTTTTTACATCGTATGTACTAACCCATTCATCGTGTACATAAATATATATTTTTCTATGTTTACATTTACTTTCAAATCATCTATTTTTCTATTTTAGCAAGATATCTCTTATGCATAGAACCCACGCACTACTTTGGTTTTAAATGACATGTTTTCTCGTCTCTGTAGCATCAGTTTGAATCACCTCTCAGCAGAGTGAGCATATGCAGCAGTGAGTTGTGATCCGTAGCGTCCTCGTGCCTGCAGACAAGCTGCTGTTTGCTTCACATTTCTGGGGGTATAAGTCTTACCGTTATGACTGTGGTGATGTGTGCCTGCGTCGGTCTCTTGTTTCTGTGAGTGTTTGTACAGATTTGTCGCCTTTTTTTAAACAAACAAGAAGGACTCGTGGTGGATGTTTTTCTCAGGATTCGTAGCTAAAGTGCGGCGGCAAATTGGAGGATTTTTGCGGCTTTATCTACATTCAACTCTCAGCCTACAGTTCAATCACAAAGGACCTGGTTACAGCTTCAAAGACTGGTTACAAAAAAAAAGACTATTTAAAGACCTGGAACAAGAAGAATGATGATTGTTTCCTGACTTTATATCCACAGATAACTCACCAAATAACAAGCCATCACTCTGTACAGAAGAAAATGCAACTATGGGAGGTGGAGAATCACACATTTGTACGCAGTGTTAAATTAAAAAACATACTTTTGTATAAGCAATCTGTATAAAACAAAAAAAGAAGATATTTGTGCAGGTGAGAAGTATATCAGATGTTATGGGTGTATATCCTGAGAGTGCATGTCCCCCCCCCCCACCTGACCATCATTACACCTGGATCAATACAGATGGAGGACACACACACACACACTCACACACACACCATGAGTCTGTAGCTGCTATACTGCTGCTATCTCTTCCTCTCTGTTGGTCATCGTTTCCTGTTTGAATAAATACAGAGTTATCACTGTGCTTTGAGTCTGAGTTCAGGTGTGTGTGTGCGTGTGTGTGTGTGTGTGTGTGTGTGTGTGTGTGTGTGGAAGACGTACTCAGATCCTTAACTTGATTAAAAGTACTACTTTGTCACATTATACCACTGTGTGTGTGTGTGTGTGTGTGTGTGTGTGTGTGTGTGTGTGTGTGTGTGTGTGTGTGTGTGTGTGTGTGTGTGTGTGTGTGTGTGTAAACGTTGGATGGTTGACATCCATCTCTCCCTCTCTGCTTCCTCTCTCAATAAAAGCTGCAAAAACAAAGCAGAAATCAAACATCTCATTTATAATGCAGCAGCAACAAGCTGTGCAGAACACGAGGGGGTCCGTTAAAACAAGACCCCCAGTTACTATCAATCTGCCAGATAGAAACTGAGTATTTCTCCCAGTAAACATGGATCAGTGTATTCAAAAGTTAATACCTGCTTTTTGGGTTTAAAGAGTGCAACTTGTTTAAAAGCAGATGTTCTGTTTCTCTTTCTGAAAAGCCTCAGAACACACGACCAGCTGCTAGGGCCCCGGGCCCCGTGATAATGGCAGCCCACGGCTCCTAACACTAGGATGGGTCAAATGCAGAGAAACCGTTTCGTTACATAGCACCTGTACTACGTAATGACAATAGGTTGAATCTAATCTAATACAAACTAATAATTCTTCATGGACTGGGGGACAAAAATACGTCTGATGATATATACGTCTCAATACATATATACGAAACATAAAAAACAATGCTGCAAAGAGATGCAAAGTCAATCAATAAATTAATCAATCAAGCGATCAATGAGGTTTCGTGACAGTTGCACTATATTAGAATACAAAATATAGTTATATAACAGAAGAAGGTAAAGTCAAAACGTGAAATAAAAGTTCTTGTAGCCACAGGGACTTTTTGTACGTGATTTTCAGATCAAAAATATTTTTATTGCGTTTCGACAATGCTTAACCAGTGTTTGTCATTTAGAAATGGAAAGCAAAATATATGCGTATACAAATGAGACAGTGGTTTGTACTGATTGTATGTACAAAGAGAAAAATAAATAACGGAAAACACAAACAAACAATAACAACGACTAAAGTAATCTCCTTCACTGCCAATGAGCCTCATACGCACAAATATTCGCTAGAACTTTAGTTAAATGAATATATATGCATGTCATACATATGCACATACATATATGAAACATATACTTATACACACACACACACACACATGCCTAAGTTGCAGAAAAGCAAGCGAGTGTTGAAAGCATTTAAGAAAGGTCCCCAGGCTTCTTGAAATGTTCTGTTTGAGTGTAGAAGTGAATATCTGATCTTTTACAGCTCTAGTTTTTAAGAAGGGGTCAGGAGCCTTAGCATGTCTGTGATCATGTGACTAATGACTGACAACAAAAGCTTTCACTCAAATGTTGAACTGGCACAAAGAAAGTATTTATTAATGCCCTAAGGATTTCTGCAGAGCCAAAAAACATACGACTTTGATAGGGTTCATTCTCTGAAAAGGGGTGCGTCCAACTTGTCTATGCAACTTGAGATGCAAAATAACTAAAAAGAGACTCAAAATGTCAAAAGAAAGAGACTATATTAACAACATGAAACGTATACAAGATACAGAGATGTTACTTCTAATTCTCTTTAACAGAATAACACAGTAGTGGCTGACTCTTAGCCTCCTAGCCTCCTAGCCTCCTTCCTTCCTTTCCTCTTGCTGCTCTCCTGGTGTTTGTCGCCCCCTTGTGGCAGGTGTGCATGACAACAAAAGCTTTCACTCAAATGTTAAAGTGGACCTATCATGCTATATTTTAATAATATATTGTAGGGCCATACCTATATAAAACATGTCTGTGAAGTTTTTTTTTCAAAATACCAAACAGATCCTGCATTTTAGCCATGCCTCATTTCGCTCTATTTGCTCTCTTCCAGCCCTGTCTTCACAAGGGCTGATTCTGTGGCAAATGAGCTGCAGCTGACCACACCCTCCTTTGCAGGGGGGCGAGGCACGAGCGTCATGTTACCATGCTGTTACCATGCTGTTACCATGCTGTTACCATGCCACGCAACCTCTCATTCCCCTGATAGGTGGAGAGTTGCCCATATAGGCGGAGCTCCCTGTTTCTGACGTCAGAACAATTTCAAATCTGGATCAGTTTTTATCAGATCCGTTGCAGCCCCTTTTTTAGAGATTTGGGTATGGAGGAAAATAGAGAGGGTTGTGTTTTCTGACACTTGGTGAGTTCCCTGGAACACCGGGGACACATATTCATGTAGAAAAGACGTACAAAAGCGCATTTTGCATGATAGGTCCCCTTTAAACTGGCTCTTGTAATTTAAGAAAGTATTGATTTCTGCAGAGGGTTCAGTCTGAAAAGGGGTGCGTCCAACTTGTCTGGTGCAGTTTTAATATTTGGTTTGGATTGAGAGTCAAAGGTTACACAAAAGGATGCAACATGTGGTCAAAAAGATGCAAAAAAGAGACATTCACAAAATGAAACGTATATAAGCTACAGAGAGGTTACTTCTAATTCTCTTTAACAGAATAACACAGTATAGTGGCTAACTTCTCTCCTCCTAGCCTCCTTGCCTCCTAGCCTCCTTCCTTCTTTCCTTCCTTTCCTCCTGCTGCTCTCTTCAAATAGGCAAAGGTTATACAAAAGGATGCAACATGTGTACAAAAAGAGATGCAAAATAAGTCAAATTTCCAAAAAATAGACTATATTAATAACATGAAGCGCATATAAGCTACAGAACATGTTACTTCTAATTCTCTTTAACAGAATAACACAGTAGTGGCTAACTCCTCGCCTCCTCGCCTTCTCCTTCCTTCCTTTCCTCCTTCTCTCCCTGGTGTGTGTCGCCCCCGTGTGGCAGCTGTGCAGAATAACAGCAGGTGGAGGAAAATGATTTCACTTTCTATTCTGCTGAATGGAAACGAAGCTTTTAAGTCAGAAAGTTAAACTTGTTGTGCTTCCAGAGGCTCATTCTTCCAGGATTTCTGTCAAATGGAGAAGCAGGAGGCCACGCGCACCTGCGGGCAGTGGTGAGTTCAGGGACATCAGGTGCAAATCACTTTAAAAAGTGTGTTTTAAAGTCGTTTTTACGCGATCCAGTAAGGAACTCTTCAGTGTGGACAGGAGTTAAAGATGTATGTCAGTGAGATTGGTTGTATTTAACGAACAGCTAAAATATCAGAAAGCAGCGCTAAAGTCCTTATTGGTGCTTTATCTAAAAGGTTATCTGTAAATCTGAACACATTGTACGACAGAAATGCAGAATCAATGCTAAACTAAGGAGGAACACACATTCTTTCTAGTTGTTTGGCCTCTTTTTGTGGTGATTTTGAAACTTTTTGTAGTCGTTTTCTGTTGTTTTGGTCATTTCTGAAGCGTTGCTTTTAATCTCTGGTTGTTTTGGTAGTCACGATGTTGTTGCGTGTAGTTGTTGTGTTTCTCTTTGTGGTCATTTTGTTTGTAATTTGTATCAATTGTATTTAATACTTCTATTTGTGTGGTTTTGCCCCATTTTTTGGTCATTTGGTGTTTTTTTTGTAGTGGTTTTGTGTCACTTTTTATATGTTTATAGTCTTATGTATTAGTTTCGCATAATGACTTGTTTTTTTTTGTGTTTCTTTTGTTTAATTAGTCTTGTGTCAGATATAGTTTTACTTTTTGTTAGCAGATTTAGACTTATACCTTCTGTCTATCTGCAGCAGAAAGGTGACTATTCTCACAGTTCAAGTTTAGCCGTTCATCTCGGCGTTATTTATTAGATGCACACAAGTCGAGAGACATGAGAACCGACAAAGAAGGGGCGTGGCTCCAACTGTCATATACCCCCAGGTAGTGACATCACAATCATGTGCCACAGCGCTACCCAATGAACACAGTAGTAGTCGCAGCTACTTATATAAACAATATGGTACACAGTAATACATGGAGTCATACATATCTCTGTATGTTATACCTCAACACTTTTGTTTCACTGTTGTCTGCAGACTGAGAGGAAACTCAGTCACTTTCAATTTCTATATTTAGATTGACCTAAGACAGGTTTTGTAATC